AGGCCCTAAACACCAGAGCAATAGAGGCCCAGATCTACCACACCAGACAAGACCCAAGGTGTAGGTTGTGCAAGGAGGCCCCTGAGACAGTCCAGCACATCACAGCAGGGTGCAAGATACTGGCAGGGAAAGCGTACATGGAGCGACATAACCAAGTGGCAGGCATAGTGTACAGAAACATCTGTGCAGAATATGGACTGGAAACCCGAGATCAAAGTGGGAAACACCCCAAAGGTGGTGGAGACGCCAGAGCTAAGATCCTGTGGGACTTCCAGATCCAGACAGACAAAATGGTAATGGTGAACCAACCAACATTGTCGTAGTGGATAAACAACAGAGGAAAGCCGTTGTGGTAGATGTAGCAATACCAAGTGATTGCAACATCAGGAAAGGAGCACGAGAAACTGGAGAAATACCAGGGCCTCAGGGAAGAACTGGAGAGGACCTGGAAGGTGAAGACACAGTGTGCCTGTGGTCATCGGGGCCCTCGGGGCAGTGACCCCCAAACTGGAGCAGTGGCTACAACAGATCCCAGGAACAAACATCAGCATCTCAGTCCAGAAATGTGCAGTCCTTGGCACAGCCAAGATACTGCGCAGAACCTCAAGCTCCCGGCCTCTGGTAGAGGACCCGAGCTCAGAGGATAAGAACCACCCGCGGTGGGTGAGAAGGGAATTTATATATATATATATATATATATATATATATATATATATATATATATATATATATATATATATATATATATATATATATATATATATATATTGGCACAGCCAAGATACTGCGCAGGACCCTCAAGCTCCCAGGCCTCTGGTAGAGGACCCGAGCTCAGAGGATAAGCACCACCACGGTGGGTATATATATTAATTAGATGTATTCAAGTTGAGATAACGTCATTCAATCACGTTAGTCCAGTTTGAGAGAAAAAAACCGATTGTCTCGCGTGTTCTCGCGTGATATCCCGTGATCTCACTCGTTGTTGTCAGTCAGCACAATATCAGTCTGACTATAATGAATCATGTTAGCTCAACATGATTCAATTTTATAAATGTGAAGTCGTGGAATATCTTGTTTATCCAACATGATTTTTATCACGTTTTCACTTCAAACCCAACATTTGTGTGAAAGGTACATAATATTCTTTTGTTATGTAATACGCCCCGACGTTCTTTTTTTTTTGGCGGAAGATCTAGCTGACGTAATTCAATCACGTTATCTCACCTTGAATACATTTTATTCCATTTGCGAGAGAGACCGATTGTCTCGCGTATTCTCGCGTGATATCCCGTGATTTCCCGTAATCTTGCGTGATATCTCATGATCTCACTCGTGGTCTTCAGCATAGGATCGGTCTGACTATAATGAATCATGTTCACTCAACATGATTCAATTTTATAAACGTTGAAGTTGTGGAATATCTTGTTTATGCAACATGATTGTATCATGTTTTTGGCTCAAACATGGAATTATTTAGTTAACAGTACATGATATTCTTTTGTTAACGTGATAACCCCTGAGGTTCCTTTTTTACAGTGTAGATTTTCATCAAGGAAACACACAAAGTATTATGGTTTTAAGTGGTTATTTAAAAATAACAAATTAAATGCTTTAATAATAATAATAATATTGGTATTTATATAAAGATTAAAGACATGTAAATCTCTGACTTTTCTAATCTTTAATTAATCTAGTTGAAAAAACAAACCAGATAACTAAATCAAACACTGGATCCTAACTGAAATAAATATCAAGTCAAATTGTTTAATTTAACATTTTGTTTTGACTTAAAGTTCATCTTAAATTCTTAATAATTAAATAAGGACAGTAAGTATAAGTTGTGCTTTTCTCATTATGTAATTACTACATTTATTCACTTCTATCACCAAATTTACATTTCCTTTTAGGTAAATAGTACAAATTAAAACCAAATTAGCCTGAGTTGAACAACCTCCACAAATTTCAATCATGTGTAACAAGTTTTAACATTTCTTTGCTATTTGTGTCTCAGTTGAAGTTCAGTTAATGAATATGCAACCTAGTAGCAAACACACAAAAAACCACTAAAATAAACTAATTATTTTCTTTTCACACTCACCACAGTGAGTTAAGTTCATCCCTTTGGAGGAGTTACTGGCTTGATTGCTGACTGAACAGACCAGATGTCCTGAGATGTTTTGTCTCAGAACGATGATGTTGGCCCCGCTATTTCCAGAGAAGAGCTCAGAGTCTGTCAGTGGGCGTCCATCCAGAGTCCAGTTGTACCAAGGACTGTCGCCTTGAGACAAACATGACACCTTCATCTGTCCCTGAGATAAACACTGAGGGACGAGCTGAACAGAGGACACAGGAGCTAAAAAAAAAAGTTTTAGTGAAAAAGTGGAAAGTTTAAAATACAAACTGAAGAACGTGGTAAATAATTTTTCATTTAACATAATTTTAAAAAACTTATTTACATCCTGTTGTGAAATGAATCAATGAAAAAGAGTAAAAAGTAAAAAAAAATGGAAGAGAAATAGCGATTACCTATTACAGATAGTTGCAGAGTTCTCCATTCTGTCTTTCTTCCTGAATCCTGAAAATATTCAAGGTAATATTCACCGCTGTCATTCCTTCTCAGGTTACTGAGCCTGACTGTTCCATTAATGCGAAAAACGGGATTTATGTTGTTATTTTTAATCATAAATCTGTTAAATCTCCAATATAGAATCACATGGTTATTCTTTAGCCATCTGAAGTTGGGTACTTCTAACATGTTGTCCATCAGCTGAATGTCTACTGCTCCCCCAAAGCTCCAATACACTGAGCTCCAGGCTTTCTGCCATCACAGGAAGGTTTCACCGCTTAAAGGAAAAACAAGAATAAGAATAAAGAGAGCATGTTTCTATTTTTAACCAAAAAAAAGACTAATTTTGTGAAAGTAGATTTTCATCAAGAAAATATACAAAGTATTTTGGTTTTCAGCGATGTTATTTACATAAACGTCTACTACTACTAATAATAATAACAATCATAATAATAGTTACATTAATATTTGAACAATGGTATTTAATTCAACGATTAAATCAATGTAAATATTTGACTTTTATAATCTTTAATTAATCTAGTGGAAAAAATGAACCAGATAACTTAATCAAACACTGGATCCTGACTCAAATAAATGTAAAGTCAAATTGTTTAATTGGCTTGTCGTTAACATTTTGCTTTGACTTAAACTTTATCTTAAATTCTTAATAACTAAAAATGAACAGTGAGAATAAGTTATGCTTCTTTATAAACAACCATTTTATAAAGTAGCCATTACTTTATAAATCATGATTTATTTCTATCACCAAATAAATATTTGCTTTCAGTAAATAGTAAAAATTAAAACCAAAGTAGCCTGAGTTGAACAACTTCCACAAATTTCAATCATGTGTAACAAGTTTTAACATTTCTTTGCTATTTGTGTCTAAATTGAAGTGCAGTCAATGAATATGCTTCACAATAAACCACTAAAATAAACTAATTATTTTCGCTTCACACTCACCACAGTGAGTTAAGTTCATCCCGTTGGAGGAGTTACTGACTGAATTCCTGACTGAACAGACCAGATGTCCTAGGATGTTATGTTTTAGAACGATGAACTTGGCCTCAAAGCTCCTCTCTATCAATTTGTGTCCATCAGAATCCAGCTGTATTGAGGAAGGTCACCTCGACACAGACATGACACATTCATCCGTCCATCAGATAAACATTGAGGGACGAGTTGAACAGAGGACACAGGAGCTGATAGAGAAACAGATGAAAATTGATTAAAGAAAATATCTTGTTTTTACATTTCGGTGGAAAACTGGAAAGTAGGGAAGACAAACTGGAGTATGTTGTAAATTATGTTTTATTTAATAAAAGTAAAATGTCTGTCTACGTCCTGTTGGGAAATGAAACAATGTAAAAGAGTAAAAATGAAAAAATTAGAAGAAAAATAGTTGATTACCCATAACAGTTAGATACAGAGTTCTCGATGATGTCCTCTTTTCTTTTCCATCAAACGTTTCAAGTTTATATTCACCGGCGTCAGACCTTCTCAGGTCATTGATCCTGACTGTTCCATTACTGGGAAAAACGGGAAATATGTTGCTTTTTTCACCAAGAACTTTGTTAAACCTCCACTTGAGTATCACCAATGTTTCTTTATCCAATGAACATGGGTATTTAACATGTTGTCCATCAGCTGAATGTCTACTGCTTCTCCCACTTCTCACCTCCAGGCTTTCTGCCATCACAGGAAGGTCACCGCTAAAGGAGAAACAAGAATAAGAATGAATAGAGTATTCTTCTATTTTTATTTTCAACAAAAAAAAAGGACTCATCTTGGGAAAGTAGATTTTCATCAAGAAAACATATAAAATATTTTGGTTTTAACTGATGTTATTTACATGAATGTCTAATTATAAATAATAATAATAATAATAATAATGATGTTATTTAATTCAGTGATTGAATCCATGTAATTTTCTAATCTTTAATTAATCTAGTAGAAACAATGAATCACAAAACTAAATCCAACACTGGATCCTGACTCAAATAAATGTAAAGTCAAATTGTTTAGTTATCCTGTCATTAACATTTTGATTTGACTTCAAATTTATCTTAAATTCTTAATGACTAAAGAGGAACAATAAGGATGAGTTATGGTTTTTAGAAAGTAAGCATTACGTTTATTCACTTCTATCACCAAATAAACATTTGCTTTCAGTAAATAGTAAAAATTAAAACCAAATTAGCCTGAGTTGAACAACTTCACAAATTTCAATCATGTGTACAAAGTTTTAACATTTCTTATAGACCCTCTTAGCTATTTGTGTCTCAGTGACTTGTAGTTAATGAATATGCAACCTAGTAGCAAAAACACAATAAACACTAAAATAAACTATTTTCTTTCACCTCACCACAGTAAGTTACGTTCATCCCTTTGGAAAAGTTACTGACTTCATTGCTGACTGAACACACCAGATGTCCTAGGGATGCTTTGTCTCAAAAACGATGATGTTGGCCTCATTATTTCTAGAGAAGATCTCAGAGTTTGTCAGTTTGTGTCCATCCAGAGTCCAGCTGTACCAAGGACTGTCGCCTTGAGACAAACATGACACCTTCATCTGTCCCTTAGATAAACACTGAGGGACGAGCTGAACAGGATACACAGGAGCTGAGAGAGAAACACATGAATAAATTGATTACTGAAAATATCTTGTTTTTAAATTTAGGAGGAAAACTGGAAAGTAGAGAAGACAAACTGGAGTACGTTGTAAATTATTTTTTATGTAATAAAAGTAAAATTTCTTTCTACTTCCTGTTGTGAAATGAAACAATGTAAAAGAGTAAAAAGTGAAAAAATTGGAAGAGCAATAGTTGATTACCTATTACAGAAAGTTGCAGAGTTTTCCATCCTGTCTTTTCTCCACCTCTATCAAACATTTCAAGGTAATATTCACCGCTGTCATTCCTTGTCAGGTCATTGATCCTGACTGTTCCATTACTGGAAAAAAAGGGAATTATGTTGTTCTTTTTACTAACAACTGTGTTAAACCTCCACTTGAGTATCACAAAGTAATTCATCATCCAATTGAAGATGGGTATTTCTAACACGTTGTCCATCAGATGAATGTCTATTGTTCCTCCCAAAGCTCCAAAACACTGAGCTGCAGACTTTCTGCCATCACAGGAAGTTTTCACCACTTAAAGGAAAAAAAAGAATATATATTGTATTTTTCTAATTGTATTTTTTACAAAAAAGGGACTCATCTTGTAAAAGCTGAGTTTCATCAAATAAATATAGCAAGTATTTTTGTTTTAATTTTTGTTATTTACATGAATTTAAAATAATAATAACAGTTATTATTATTGCTTTTATAATAATAATCATTAATAACAACAACAATAATAATAATAATAATAACAAAAACAATAACAATAATCATAATCATAATGATGGTATTTAAAGATTAAATACATGTAAATATTTTATTATTCTAATCTTTAATTAATGTAGTTGAGAAAATGAACCAAATAACTAAATCAAACACTGGATCCTGACTTAAATCAATATCAAGTCAAATTGTTCAACTGGCTCCTCATCATCATTTTGTTTTGACTTAAAGTTTATCTTAAATTCTTAATAACTAAAGAGGAACAGTAAGAGTAAGTGATGCTTCTTTATAAAGCAACCATGTAATAATGTAATCATTACACTTATTTACTTCGACCAGCAAATTTACATTTGGTTTGAGGCAAATAATAAAAATTAAAACCACATTAGCATGAGTTGAACAATTTCCACCAATTTTAAACATGTGTAACAAGTTTTAACATTTCTTATAGACCCACTTAGCTATTTGTGTCTCAATTGAAGTGCAGTTAATGAATATGCAATCGAGAAGGAAACAAACAATAAACCACTAAGATAAACGAATTACTTTCTTTTCACACTCACCACAGTGAGTTAAGTTCATCCATTCGGAGGAGTTACTGACTTTATTCCTGACTGAACAGACCAGATATCCTGAGATGTTTTGTCTCAAAACGATGATGTTGGCCTCATTATTTCTAGAGAAGATCTCAGAGTTTGTCAGTGCGTGTCCATCCAGAGTCCAGCTGTACAAAGTACTGTCACCTTGAGACACACAGGACACCTTCATATGTCCCTCAGATAAACATTGAGAGATGAGCTGAACAGGATACACAGGAGCTGAGAGAGAAACACATGAAGAAATTGATTATTGAAAATATCTTGTTTTTAAATTTAGGTGGAAAACTGGAAAGTAGAGAAGACAAACTGGAGTATGTTGTAAATTATTTTTTATTTAAAAAAGTAAAATGTCTGTCTACGTCCTGTTGTGAAAAGAAACAATGTAAAAGAGTAAAAAGTGAAAAAATTGGAAGAGCAATAGTTGATTACCTATTACAGAAAGTTGCAGAGTTTTCCTTTCCAGTCTATCTTCTTCATTATGCACATAAAGTATATATTCACCACTGTCATCCCTCGTCAGGTCATTGATCCTCACTATTCCATCATTGGGAAAAACGGGAATTATGTTGTTCTTTTTAGTAACAACTTTGTTCAATATACAATTTAGAATCACAACACGATTCATGATCCAATTTAAGCTAACTGCTGCTGACAAGTCGTCCATCAGCTTAATGTCTATTGCTTCTCCCAAAACTCCAAAACACCGAGCTCCATTCTTTCTGCCATCACATGAAGTTTTCACCGCTTAAAGGAAGAACAGGAATAAGAACAAAGAGAGCATATTTTTATTTATATTTCTAACCAAAAAAGGAAATCATTTGGTAAAAGTAGATTTTCACCAAGTAAACATACAAAATATTTTGGTTTTAATTTATGTTTTTTACATGAACGTGTAATAATAATAAGAATAATAATATCAATAATGGTATTTACTTCAAAGATTAAATGCATGTAAATCTTTGACTTGTCTAATCTATAATTAATCTAGTTGAAAAAAATGAACCAGATAACTCAATCACTGGATAATAACTGAAATAAACATGAAGTCAAATTGTTTAGTTAGCCTGTCATTAACATTTTCTTTTGACATCAAGTTTATCTGTAATTCTTAATGACTAAAGAGGAACAATAAGAATAAGTTATGGTTTTTAGAAAGTAACCATTACGTTTATTCACTTCTATCACCAAATTTACATCTGCTTTCAGTAAATAGTAAAAATTAACACCAAATTAGCCTGAGTTGAACAACTTCCACAAATTTCAATCATGTGTAACAAGTTTTAACATTTCTTATAGACCCTCTTAGCTATTTGTGTCTCAGTTGACTTGTAGTTAATGAATATGCAACCTAGTAGCAAAAACACAATAAACCACTAAAATAAACTAATTATTTTCTTTTCACACTCACCACAGTGAGTTAAGTTCATCCCTTTGAAGGAGTTACTGACTTCATTCCTGACTGAACAGACCAGATGTCCTAGGATGTTTTGTCTCAGAACGATGATGTTGGCCTCAGTATTTCTAGAGAAGAGCTCAGAGTTTGTCAGTGGGCGTCCATCCAGAGTCCAGCTGTACCAAGGACTGTCGCCTTGAGACACACAGGACACCTTCATCTGTCCCTGAGATAAACACTGAGGGACGAGCTGAACAGAGGACACAGGAGCTGAGAGAGAAACAGATGAAGAAATTGATTACTGACAATATCTTGTTTTTAAAGTTAGGTGAAAAACTGGAAATTAGAGAAGACAAACTGGAGTATGTTGTAAATTATGTTTTATTTAATAAAAGTAAAATGTCTGTCTACGTCCTGTTGTAAAATGAAACAATGTAAAAGAGTAAAAAGTGAAAAAATGGAAGAGAAATTGTTGATTACCTATAACAGATAGTTGCAGCAGTCTCCATCCTGTCTTTTTTCCTTTTCCATCAAACATTTCAAGTTTATATTCACCGCGATCAGTCGTTCTCAGGTCATAGAGCCTGACTGTTCCATTACTGGGAAAAATGGGAATCATGTTCCTTCTTTTACTAACAACTGAGTTAAACCTCCAATGTAGAATCACAAAGTTATTCTTTGTCCATTCGAAGTTGGGTATTTCTAACATGTTGTCCATCAGCTGAATGTCTATTACTCCTCCCAAAGCTCCAAAACACTGAGCTCCATTCTTTCTGCCATCACAGGAAGGTTTCACCACTTAAAGGAAAAACAAGAATAAGAATAAAGAGAGTATTTTTCTATTTTTATTTTCAACAAAAAAAGGTACTCATCTTGTAAAAGCAAAATTTCATCTAGAAAACATACAAAATATTTAGGTTTTAACTGATGTTATTTACATAAAAGTAAAATAATAATGACAGTAATTATTATTGCTTTTGTAATAATAATCATTATAAATAATAATAATGATGATAGTTAAAGATTAAAGACATGTAACTGACTTTTCTAATCTTTAATTAATGTAGTTGAAAAAATGAACCAGATAACTAAATCCAACACTGGATCCTGACTCAAATAAATATAAATAAAAATACTTTAATTGGCCTATCATTAACATTTTGACTTGACAAATTTTGTCTTAAAATTTAAGATTTTGTTCATCTTAAATTCTTAATAACTAAAGAGGAACAGTGAGAATAAGTTATGCTTTATATTTCAAACCATATATTTTATTTGTGTAGCACATTTCAGCAGTGAGGCATTTTAAAGTGCTTTACATCATAAACACAAAAACACAAAGTCATGCAACATAGAATAAACAATATATTGTTACATATTATGTTTCAAATACAATTCTTAACAGGTGCGTTTTTCATTGAGCTTTAAAGGAAGTCAGTGTTTCAGCTGTTCTACAGTTTTCTGGAAGTTTGTTCCAAATATTTGGTGCATAGATCCAGAAAGCTGCTTCTCCTCTTTTGGTTCTGGTTCTGGGGATGCAAAGCAGACCAGAACCAGAAGACCTGAGAGGTCGGGAAGGTTGATACAACAGCAGATCTTAAATGTATTTTGGTGCTAAGATGTTCAGTGATTTGTAAACTAACGACAGTATTTTAAAGTCTATTCTTTGAGCTACAGGGAGCCAGTGGAGGGACTTTAAAACTGGTGTTATATGCTCCATCTTCCTGGTTTTAGTGAGAACGCGAGCAGCAGCTTCTGGATCAGCTGCAGCTGTTTAATTGATTTGTTGGACAGGCCTGTGAAGACGCTGTTACAATAATCAATGCGACTGAAGAGAAACGCATGGATGAGTTTCTCTGGATCTGGCCGAGACATCAGTCCTCTCATTTATAGAGCAACCATTACATTTATCTACTATCACAAAATTTACATTTGCTTCTAGGTAAATGGTAAAAATTAAAAACCAAATTTGCCTGAGTTGAACAATTTCTACCAGTTTCAATCATGTGTAACGAGTTTTAATATTAATTGCTTTTATACTCACTTAGCTATTTGTGTCTCAGTTGATTTGCAGTTAATGAATATGCAACCAAGAAGCAAACACACAATAAACCACTAAGATAAACTATTTTTCTATTCACACTCACCACAGTGAGTCAAGTTCATCCCTTCGGAGGAGTTACTGATTTCATTCCTGACTGAACAGACCAGATGTCCTAGTATGTTATGTCTCAGAATGATGATGTTGGCCTCAGTATTTCCAGAAAAGAGCTCAGAGTCTGTCAGTGCGTGTCCATCCAGAGTCCAGCTGTACAAAGGACTGTCACCTTGAGTCACACAGGACACCTTCATCTGTCCCTGAGATAAACACTGAGGGACGAGCTGAACAGGAAACACAGGAGCTGAGAGAGAAACACATGAAAAATTGATTAAAGAAAATATCTTTTTGTTTTAAGTTTTAGTGGAAAAGTATAAAAACAAACTGAAGTACGTTGTAAATAATTTATCATAATTAAAAAAAATATTTACATTTTGTTGTGAAATGAAACAACATAAAAAAATCAAAGATTTGATTACCTATAACAGATAGATGGAGAGTTTTCTTTCCTGTTATTTTTCCATCTCTATCAAACATTTCAAGTTTATATTCACCATTGTCATTCCTTCTCAGGTCATTGATCCTGACTGTTCCGTTACTGGGAAAAACGGGAATTATGTTGTCTTTGATTATAACCATTCTGCCATACCTCCAGATGAATATTATAGAGGAATTCATTGTCCATTGGATTATGGGTATTGCTAACATGTTGTCCATCAGCTGAACGTCTACTGCTCCTCCCAAAGCTCCAAAACACTGAGCTCCATTCTGTCTGGCATCACAGGAAGGTTTCACCGCTTAAAGGAAAAACAAGAAGAATAAAGAGAGCGTTTTTCTATTTTTAGTTAAAAAAAAAAGACTCATTTTGTAAAAGTAGATTTTCATCAACATGCAAAGTATTTTGGTTTTAAGTGATGTTATTTACATGAACGATTTACATGGACTATTTAAATCCATGTAAATCCTTTACTTTTCTAATCTTTAATTAATCTAGTTGAAAAAATTAACCAGATAAGTAATTAAATTTGGAGAGACTCAGTCAGAGAAAAGGGAAACCATTCAAAGAGTTTATTGATATACAAATTAGTCTTTGGCACTCGGGCCCAGGCTGAGGACATTGATTATCGCAAACTTTGCGATGGGCTCAGCTGAGCATTCCGTATGCTGAAAGGAACGTTATCACCCGGGACCCGACACTGGTGGTGAAGGCGATGAAGGATGCGGGCGGATGGCTGAGTGAGTGGAGGTGTAGGGGTGGAGGTGTGTTGAGCTCTGCTGGAAAGCGGAAGACGCCATGGATGATGGTCCTTATCAGCTGGGACTTGGGCGGTGATTGGACGCGACATGTCTTGGACCAGCGTTGATTAATCAACGGTGATGAGCATGCTGCACTGGTTGGATGATCCAGGTGGGGCTAGAAGAGTCTTCCAGTTTGAATTTGCACCTAGGCTTCATATCAATCTGGAGAGACTCAGACAGAGACAAGGGAAACCATAAGAAGAGTTTGACATACAAATTGGAGTCTTCAGCACTCGGGCTCCGGCTGAGGACATCAATTATTGCAAACTTCGCGATGGGCTTGGATGAGCATTCCGTATGCTGAAATGAATGTTATCCCCAAAAAGAGGTCGAGGTCGGGGCCGGGGCCAGGGCCAAGGCCAGGGCCAAGGCCGGATAATCGGAGACGGAAAGCGCTAAAGGAGAGGAGGTGCGCTGGTTTAGCTTGCAAGGTTAGGACCATAACTAAAGGAGATGATGTGACAGTTGTCGTGGAAAACAACCATTTCCAAGCACTGTCCAGGTAGAATCGCTTAATCAGGTTTATTCATGCATCATGCACAATACAGAGAGCTCATAAGACAATCACTCAAGCCAGTCTGGATGCAAGGCTAACCAAGCTCACTAAGCTCTGCCAGGCAGAGACAACATTTAAGTTTTTTATACAATGATAAGGAAAGAAAAGCAAGGGGCAAGACGGTCTGGACTTGATGCAGCTGTGGAAAGCAACCTTCCCACCTCGTCCATGTAACCCAAATAGTTATTTTGGTGAGAGTTCACAAACGTATCATATGACATGATTAGCAGATGTTCCTTATTGTAATTTTTACCACGACACAGTGATGGGCTCGGGTGAACATTCCAGATGCTGCTAGGACCGACATCCCCCAAAATAAGGCCGAGGCTGGAGGACAGATGACGAAAAGGTAAAGGGGAGAGGAGTTGCTCTGACTTAGTTTGTCGAACAGAAGGAGATGGCGTGACAGTGACAGGAGGGAAGAGTGAGAAGGGAAGACAAAGATCAGCGGGGAATGTAGCGGGGAAAGAGATGATGGGATGCGCATGGGAATGGCCAGAACGCAGGGCAAGGCATGAGATACTAGAGGATGAGTACCAGCTTGGGATGTGGTAGGAAGAGGGATGAGAGGATGCTGAAAAAGCCATCTAATGATACAACGGGGCATGAAGAGATCGAAAGGACAGGGCGTGGGAAAATAGAAATAATGATGAAAGGGGACCAGCGGGGGCTGCTGCGGGACGCTGGTTAAAAGGCCAGCTGAGGATGTTGCAAGGAATGAAATGATAGGATGCACTGGGCAAGGGATATAAGGATGCTGGTAGATGGAGACCACCAAGGACTGCTGTAGGACAAGGCATGAGGGGTTATTGATTAAAAATCCAGCTGAGAACGCAGTAGAGCCTGCAGTAAAGGGATGTACAAGGCGGGATATACATAAAAGGGGACCAGTAGGGGATGCTGTTGGGCAAGGTATAAGGGCATGGTGGTTAAAAAGGCCAGCAGGAGATGGGGATGTTCTGAGGCATGAAGTGATGGGCCACCTGGAGAACAGGGCCAGCTGGGGATAGAATAGCAAGAATAGAGGTGAGAGAGAAAAGAGCTAGTCAAGCATTTACTAAATTAAATAAGATTAAGCAGGGAGAACTTAAAAGGGCGGTATAGACAACTTCTTGCGGAAACGAAACTGGAGTAGGAATTAGACTCACTGTGAAATGGTTGAAAGATGCGGGCAATAGGCAAGAATACTCCTAAAAGAAACCTGAAATTAAGAACGTAAAAGCAAAAGGGGAAAGTAACGTCACGGCATGGGGAAGGAGCACGTGTTTAGATGGAGTAAACCAACCACCACCAGCGAATTGCGCAGTACTCATCAGGTACTGAGGGGCGCTGCGAACACAGAGGAAAGATGCGTATAATTATAAAAGGAGAATGCTGAAGATGAACAACAAAGCTGTTGGCGAAAGGCCAAGAGAATACCTGAAGACTAGTTGAAAGTGATCAAACGGCAGAAGACGTCTTCTACAGGTTCTAGCTTCGTTGTCACAAGAATGGGAGGCTTGGAACAGTAAATGAGCTTAAACAAACGAAAGCCAAAAAATAAATAAGGATGAGAAACTGAAAAAAAAAATAGGGAATGAAACACAGAGCATGATGTGAGATAGAGATAAAAGTGGGTGATGGAGTCCAATAGTTGGAGTGGACTGAATGAAGGCTGAGAGAGACAACTTATCAGCAAAGGTGATAAAATGACTGGGGCTGTAACAAGTAGGGACGATAAGCTAGATTGATGCCAACTGATGATATGAGGTGGATAGGGCTGTTCGGCTTAATAGTTCGGGCATGACGGCTTATTTCCGAAAGCTACTATAAGGGGTCGCTTGCAGAAATTACCCAAATTACATCAGTGGAACAGATTTTGTAAAATACTGGGCAAGCTAGAGAATAGCCTGTGTAGACCAGGAAGAGACATGATGGCCTGTGGAATCGAACCATGCAGATTTCGGACAATTTTGGATGAGAGATGAAACTTAGAACTGACAGATGGGACGCGAGCTTGAAATATCAAAGTAAGTGAAGCTGGGAGTAATGGAGCACAGAGAGCTTCAAAAAAAAAAAAAAAAAAAAAAAGGGGGTCCTTTATTTTTTCAGATGAAATAGAATACTTTTCTCTCTCTCAGTTGTAAACAAATGAAAAAATAAGGATCAATATATGCTGAAAGAAATGACCCGTATTCTATCAACTATTAGCTTAAGTGAAAATGGCGGGCCATAGCTTCACATCAGAGCTAAACTCTTAAGGGGTGTAATAATAAACAGCAGTGGCAATTCGAGCACTCGGATCTTCTGGTCAGGTGGCTATATAGTCGTTTTTTCCGATAGGTCTCGGTGCACAAAACGTCCTTCTCTTCCGTTCCCTAGTTTTTTAGTGCCACGATACATAAATGAGTTTTTTTCTATTTCCTGTCATTGTAGACCTCTCTGTAACAACAACACCACATGCTGGAAAAAACAAAAATCACAACCATCGATGAAACCAAAAAAACCAAAACATGGCTTTCAAAATACATTTGACATGTAGCCATTTTTCACCTGGTCACATAAGTTTGCTTGTTAGCGGAGAACGCCCGTCTCTGGACAGCTTAATAAGTGGGCAAATGAATCTACGTAACTGGACAAACACAACAACACCGATAGCCTGCATGCTACTTGTCACAAACTTAAGGTCCTGTATTATTAGCTAGTCATCTTTTAGCTAGCGTTACCTGTATCCAACGGCTTGCTCGGCTCGGTCGGTTAGTTCGGGGGGGAAAACTGCGCAAAGTACTTTGCATTTGCTGTTTTGTTGCCCTGATTCTAAGGCATTCCTGTGCAGCTCGCACAGCAGCAGCGGGGCACCATCCCACCGCACGGGAGTAGACCCAGCGCAAGTGTCGCAGTGCTAATGAGCAGCTCGGGAAACAATGTTACGACATGCTAACAAATTGAACCGTTTTAACTGCTAAACAGTGACAGCAGACATGGAAAGAGCAGGAGCCATATGTATCAAATTGATATAGGAAAAACAGGGTGTTGGCCGTTCTATGATAAACAACAAACAGCTTCCAGTCCATCCATGGGTGGCACGGCTGACTGAGTGTAAACTAAGAAAATATTTATTTATTAGTTTATATAAGCGTTGATTCAGTTAAAAGCCCTGAAGCATTGAAACGCAGCCTGAGTGGCGCATACAAATAATGAGACGTGAAGGTACGTCTTACCCGGAAGCCCGAGGCGGGCGTGGCGTGAGGAATCCGATGGGAGGTGCTGATGAACCGGGCTGAAGCTGTTGACGAGGCAGAACCAGGGCGGGGAACCGGTGAAAAGGCTGGGAGGAACGGCAACCGGTAGATCGGTGCGGCGAGACTTTGGCGGGCCCAGCCAGGGCCGAAGACGAAGAAAGGCTGCTCGAGGATGGAGACGGTGGATTTATGTGTCGGCCTGCCAAAGATATACCGTGGAGGAGGTGGCGAAGAAGTAGGAGACGGTGGATCCCAGTCAGGCGAGCAAGCGGAGGGAGAAGCTGCTTGGAATGATCGAGGCCAGAAGAATTTCTCATGCAACTCCGAGAGGATGCGGCTTTTAAGACGGAGGTTAGAGGTGGAAGGACAAGGAATCACGGAGAAAGGGATCTGGTGAGAAGGTTTGCTGAGAAACTGAGGCGTGCGAATGAACAGATTGAGCTCTGCTGGAAAGCGGAAGACGCCATGGATGATGGTCCGTATAAGATGGGACTTGGCGTGACGTGTCTTGGACCAGCGTTGATTAATCAAAAGTGAAGAGCATGCCGCACCGGTTGGATGATCCAGGTGGGTTTAGAAAGTATTCCAGTTTGAATTTGCGCCTTGGCTTCATATCAAACACTGGATCCTGACTCAAATAAGTATCAAGTCAAATTGTTTAATTGGCTTGTCGTTAACATTTTGTTTTGACTTAAAGTTTATTGTACATTCTTAATAACTAAAGAGGAACAGTAAGAATAAGTGATGCTTCTTTATAAAGCAACCATTTTATAAAGTAGCCATTACTTTATAAATCATGATTTATTTATATCACCAAATAAATATTTGCTTTCAGTCAATTGTAAAAATTAAAACCAAATTAGCCTGAGTTGAACAACTTCCACAAATTTCAATCAATTATGTATAACACGTTTTAACATTTCTTTGCTATTTGTGTCTCAGTTGAAGTTCAGTTAATGAATATGCAACCTAGAAGCAAACTCACAATAAACCACTAAAATAGACTAATTATTTTCTCTTCATACTCACCACAATAAGTTAAGTTCATCCCTTTGAATGAGTTACTGAATTGATTGCTGACTGAACAGACCAGATGTCCTAGGATGTTTTGTCTCAGAACGATGATGTTGGCCCCGCTATTTCCAGAGAAGAGCTCAGAGTCTGTCAGTTTGTGTCCATCCAGAGTCCAGCTGTATTGAGGACTGTCGCCTTGAGACACACAGGACACCTTCATCTGTCCCTGAGATAAACACTGAGGGACGAGCTGAACAGAGGACACAGGAGCTGAGAGAGAAACACAAAAAATTGATTAAAGAAAATATCTTGTTTTTACATTTCGGTGGAAAACTGGAAAGTAGAGAAGACAAACTGGAGTACGTTGTAAATTATTTTTTATGTAATAAAAGTAAAATGTCTGTCTACGTCATGTTGTGATGTGAAACAATGTAAAAGAGTAAAAAGTGAAAAAAATGGAAGAGAAATTGCTGATTACCTATGACAGATAGCGTCAGCATTCTCATTCTTGTCAATTTTCCTCTTACATCAAACATATCAAGGTAATAGTAACCGGTGTCAGTCGTTCTCAGGTCATTGATCCTGACTGTTCCATTACTGGGAAAAACGGGGATTATGTTGTTTCTTTTACTAATAACTTTGTCAAATCTCCAACGTAGAATCACAACCTCATTAATTATCCAATGGAACATGGGAAATTCGAACAAGTCGTTCAGCAGCTGAATGTCTACTGCTCCTCCCAAAGCTCCAAAACACTGAGCTCCAGCCTTTCTGCCATCACAGGAAGGTTTCACCGCTTAAAAGAAAAATAAGAATCACAATGAATAAAGTATTCTTCTATTTTTATTTTTAACAAAAAAAGTTACTCATTTTGTAAAAGTAGATTTTCATCAAGAAAACATACAAAATATTTAGGTTTTAACTGATGTTATTTACATGAACGTCTAATTATAAATAATAATAGTAATAATGTTATTTAATTCAAAGATTAAATCCATGTAATTTTCTAATCTTTTATTAATCTAGTTAAACAATGAATCACATAACTAAATCCAACACTGGATCCTGACTCAAATAAATGTAAAGTCAACTTGTTTAGTTATCCTGTCATTAACATTTTGTTTTGACTTTGTGTTTCAGTTGAAGTTCAGTTAATGAATATGCAACCTAGAAGTAAACAGACAATAAACCACTAAAATAAACTAATTATTTTTCTTTTCACACTCACCACAGTAAGTTACGTCCATCCCTTTGAAGGAGTTACTGACGTTATTGCTGACTGAACAGACCAGATGTCCTGAGATGTTGTGTCTCAGAACGATGATGTTGGCCTCAGTGTTTCTAGAGAAGAGCTCAGAGTTTGTCAGTTTGTGTCCATCCAGAGTCCAGTTGTATTGAGGACTGTCGCCTTGAGACACACAGGACACCTTCATCTGTCCCTGAGATAAACACTGAGGGACGAGCTGAACAGAGGACACAGGAGCTGATAGAGAAACACAAAAAATTGATTAAAGAAAATACATTGTTTTTCGATTTTGGTGGAAAACTGGAAAGTAGAGAAGACAAACTGGAGTACGTTATAAGTAAAATGTCTGTATGTCATGTTGTGATATAAAGAAACGTAAAAGAGGAAAACGTGAAAAAATTGGAAGAGAAATAGTTTATTACCTATAACAGATAGTTGCAGAGTTTTCCATCCTGTCATTTTTCCATCTCCATCAAACATTTCAAGTTTATATTCACGCTGTCATTCCTTCTCAGTCATTGATCCTGGCTATTCCATCACTGGGTAAAACGGGATTTATGTTGTTATTTTTACTAACAACTGTGTTATTCCTCCACTTGAGTATCACAAAGTAATTCATTATCCATTCGAAGTTGGGTATTTCTAACATGTCGTCTCAGCTGAATGTCTATTGCTCCTCCCAAAGCTCCCAAACACTGAGTTCCATTCTTTCTGCCATCACAGGAAGTTTTCTCACTTAAAGGAAAAAGAATAAGAATATGTATTTTTCTATTTTTATTTTTTACAAAAAAAGGGACTCATTTTGTAAAAGTTGATTTTCATGAAAATAAATATAGGAAGTATTTTGGTTTTAATTTATGTTATTTACGTGAAAGTAACATACTAATGACAGTTATTATTATTGCTTTTGTAATAATAATGATTATAAATAATAATAACAATAATAATAACAATAATGATGATAGTTAAAGATTAAAGACATGTAAATCTCTGACTTTTCTAATCTTTAATTAATGTAGTTGAAAAAATGAACCAGATAACTAAATCAAACACTGGATCCTAATTGAAATAAATATAAAGTCAAATTGTTCAATTGGCCTTGTCATTAACATTCTGTTTTGACAAAGTTTCTTAAACACTAATAACTAAAGAGGAACAGAAAGAATAAGTTATGCTTCTTTATAAAGCAACCAGGTAATAATGTGATCATTACATTTCTTTACTTCTTCCAACAAATTTACATTTGCTTTTAGGTAAATAATGAAAATTAAAACCATAGTAGCATGAGTTGAACAATTTCCACCAATTTTAAACATGTGTAACAAGTTTTAACATTTCTTAAAGACCCTCTTAGCTATTTGTGTCTCAATTGAAGTGCAGTCAATGAATATGCAACCTAAACAAACAATAAACCACTAAAATAAACAAATTATTTTCTTTTTCACTCACCACAGTGAGTTAAGTTCATCCATTCGGAGGAGTTACTGATTTGATTCCGACTGAACAGACCAGATGTCCTAGGATGTTTTGTCTCAGAACGATGCTGCTGGCCTCATTATTTCCAAAGAAGAGCTCAGAGTTTGTCAGTGGGTGTCCATCCAGAGTCCAACTGTACAAAGGACTGTCGCCTTGAGTCACATGACACCTTCAGCCGTTCCTCATATAAACATTGAGGGACGAGCTGAACAGGAAACACAGGAGCTGAGAGAGAAACACATGAAAAATTGATTACTGAAAATATCTTGTTTTTAAAGTTAGGTTGAAAGCTGGAAAGCAGAGAAGACAAACTGGAGTATGTTGTAAAATTTTTTATTTAAAAAAGTAAAATGTCTGTCTACGTCCTGTTGTGAAATGAAAAATGTAAAGGAGTAAAAAGTGAAAAAATTGGAAGAGCAATAGTTGATTACCTATTACAGAAAGTTGCAGAGTTTTCCTTTCCAGTCTATCTTCTTCATTATGCACATGAAGTATATATTCACCACTGTCATCCCTCGTCAGGTCATTGATCCTCACTATTCCATCATTGGGAAAAACGGAATTATGTTGTTCTTTTTAGTAACAACTCTGTTCAATATACAATTTAGAATCACAACACGATTCATGATCCAATTTAAGCTAACTGCTGCTGACAAGTCGCCATCAGCTGAATGTCTATTGCTTCTCCCAAAACTCCAAAACACGAGCTCCATTCTTTCTGCCATCACATGAAGTTTTCACCGCTTAAAGGAAGAACAGGAATAAGAACAAAGAGAGCATATTTTATTTATATTTCTAACCAAAAAAGAAAATCACTTGTAAAAGTAGATTTTCACCAAGTAAATATACAAAGTATTTTGGTTTTAATTTATATTTTTTACATAAACGTGTAATAATAACTTAACAGCAAGAATAAGTTATACTTTTCTTATATTATCTACTTCTGTCACCAAATTTACATTTGCTTTTAGGTAAATAGTAAAAATTAAAAACCAAATTAGCCTGAGTTGAGCAACTTCCACAAATTTCAATCAATTATGTATACACATTTTAACATTTCTTATAGACCCACTTAGCTATTTATGTCTCAATTGACTTGTAGTTAATAAATATGCAACCGAGAAGCAAACTCACAATAAACCACTAAAATAAACTAATTCTTTTTCTATTCACACTCACCACAATAAGTTAAGTTCATCCCTTTGAAGGAGTTACTGACTTCATTCCTGACTGAACAGACCAGATGTCCTGAGATGTTATGTCTCAGAATGATGATGTTGACCTCAAGATTTCCAGAGAAGAGCTCAGAGTCTGTCAGTTTGTGTCCATCCAGAGTCCAGCTGTATTGAGGACTGTCACCTTGAGACACACAGGACACATTCCTCTGTCCCTGAGATAAACATTGAGGGACGAGCTGAACAGAGGACACAGGAGCTGAGAGAGAAACACATTAAAAATGATTAAAGAAAATATCTTTTTTACATTTGGTGGAAAACTGGAGAGTAGAGAAGATAAACTGGAGTACGTTGTAAATTATTTTTTATGTAATAAAAGTAAAATGTCTGTCCATGTCGTGTTGTGAAATGAAACAATGTAAAAGAGTAAAAAGTGAAAAGATTCTTAGAGAAATTGTTGATTACCAATAACAGATAGATGCAGAGTTTTCCATCCTGTCATTTTTCCATCTCCATCAAACATTTCAAGTTTATATTCACCGCTGTCATTCCTTCTCAGGTCATTGATCCTGACTGTTCATTACTGGGAAAAACGGGAATTATGTTGTTCTTTTTACTAACAACTTTTTTAATCCTCCAGTTGAGTATCACAGAGTTATTCATTATCCATTGGAATCTGGGTATTTCTAACATGTTGTCCATCAGCTGAATGTCTACTGCTCCTCCCAAAGCTCCAAAACACTGAGCTTCATTCTCTCTGCCATCACAGGAAGGTGTCACCGCTTAAAGGAAAACAAGAATAACAATAAAGAGAGTATTTTTCTATTTTTAACAAAAAAATGACTCATTTCATAAAAGTGGATCTTCATCAAGTGAACATACAATGTATTTTGGTTATAAGTGATGTTATTTACATGAATGTAAAATAATAACAGTAATTATTATTGCTGTAATAATAATAATAATAATATTTATATAAAGACTAAAGACATGTAAATCTCTGACTTTTCTAATTTTTAATTAATCTAGTTGAAACAATGAATCAGATAACTTAATCAAATACTGGATCCTGACTCAAATAAATGTAAAGTCAAATTGGCCTTTTGACTTAAAGTTTATCTTAATTTCTTTATAACTGAGGAGGAACAGTAAGAATATTTCATGTTTTTTATAAAGCAATCATTACGTTTATTCACTTCTATCACCAAATTTATATTTGCTTTCAGTTAAACAGTAAAAATTAAAATCAAAGTAGCCTGAGTTGACCAATTTCCACAAATTTCAATCATGTGTAACAAGTTTTAATATTTCTTAAAGACCCACTTAGCTATTTGTGTCTCAGTTGAAGTTCAGTTAATGAATATGCAACATAGAAGCAAACTCACAATAAACCACTAAAATAAACTAATTATTTTCATTTCACACTCACCACAGTAAGTTAAGTTCATCCCTTTGAAGGAGTTACTGACTTGACTCCTGACTGAACAGATCAGATGTCCTAGGATGTTTTGTCTCAGAACGATGATGCTGGCCTCAGTATTTCCAGAGAAGAGCTCAGAGTCTGTCAGTGGGCGTCCATCCAGAGTCCAGCTGTATTGAGGACTGCCGCCCTGAGACAAGCAGGACACCTTCATCTGTCCCTGAGATAAACACTGAGGGACGAGCTGAACACAGGACACAGGAGCTGAGAGAGAAACACATAAATTTTGCTTATTTTATAAAGTAACCATTACATTTATTTACTTCTATAAATAAATTTATTGCCACTAATAATCGCAGTGCGCTTTACTTATGCGCTGCACAGCCTTTTTACATCTGCAGATCCACGTGCTGAAAATTCTAAAAATAGTTTTTTACAATCAGATGTGTTCATTGACACCTTGACATTTAATACATCAAAAGACGTGAGGAAAAAAAAAGCAAAGACAAAAAAAAATATAAGAAGAAGAAATAAATAGCAAACTAGGTTGTACAACAATCAAAGCTAGTTTATTAGGCCTCCAGCATCATAGCACTGCTCCCTCTATAAAAGAGCTGGGTTTGAGGCGGGCCACTTCCTTAACAAGATTCCAAGATGGTCACTAGAGGGACACACCCGAAAAGTAACAAACATTTCACAGACAAAGGATCATATTCACACATGATAGAATTTAAACATTACAGAAAACCTTACTGCTTCTTAACAGAGGACAAATGACGAATATTTTTTAGCTATTGACAAAAAGAGCTGCACGAGATCCAATTAAATTTCACAGTAACAAACAGGTGGCATTTTCACTTTTCTTTGAATAAAACGCCTTACTAGGACTTTAAGCCAATCAAAATGTCCTAATTAACATATTTACTTATAATATGTGACAGGTAGATAAAAGCCTGAGATTTTGTGTCACTAATTATGGCAAGTCTTTTACTAAAAGTGTGTCAATCATGCCAGAGATGTGGCAAATCAGAATAAAGTATGCTTAAAGCTGTTTTGAAACAGATAATGAGACTTGCTGATTTAGAGAATTTTCTATGGAATAGAGGACAAATAAAGCCATCACCTGTTGATGTTGTCTGCAACCCACAGGTAGCCAAACATATCAAGTAGTTTCTTCAAAATAGTTGGTACAATAACACTACTCCTAAAAGTTTTTCTTTTCAAACTGTTTCTGAAGCAAATGTGACTGAGTGAGAAAATACAAGTAGTTACTACTTACCTCAAACAACACATAAAGCATCGCATTGCAAACACTTTGCTGCCCTCTAGCGTCAGAGTGATGCCAAAGGGCATCCTCTGAATGACTCTTACTGTAAGTCATTCCGGCATTAAGAGGTTAAAATCCTGAAATTAAGAGCTTTAAATAAGCTTGACCATTTCTCAGGATAAGATATCAAATAAAATGTCGATGCCAATTAAGACATAGTAGGAGCAACTATTTAACCTGGTAAGTAGAATTTAGAACAAATTCGGACAAGAGAAAATCCACACAAAGTTTTAATTTGTACACCAAATTCTTAGTTTTAAACTTTAAGTTGTTAATTCCACACCAACAAGAAAGGTTTTAAAAGAAACATATGCTAAGGATGACTGGCACTGATTCAAATCTAATACCTACCAAGGAAATACACTTGTTTTGATGACAAAGTAGTCAAAAATGAACTAATAGGAGGAAATTTAAATATAAACAAACAGTAAAGCAGTGGTTCCCTAAGAATTACAATAAAATCCCCCACAAAAAAACAAAATAAAAACAATCAACTGGGCACACACATCGTTCAACCAGACATAAATCTAAACACATATTTTGTTTTCAAACTCCAAGTGAAATTTATTTCACATTTCAAGTTGCAACAAAAAGAAACAACAAGCCATCTTTATAATAAAACACTTGTGCAACTCTTTCATTTTTAGTTCTATGCCATTAGTGTTATTTCAAACATATATTTTTTTCTTTTGTAACCATATTCAACTTTGCTTTTAAAAAGCCTTTGTGCAAAATGGGGTTAAAATATGAACAGCTCCCTGAGAGTTTCTTTTATTTTTTCATCACCCCCCCAATACTTTGGAACCACTGCATTAAAGGTATCACAATTGAATCCATTAAGGATTTTACTGTCAGTTGTGTTTTTGCTCCTAAAAGTACAGGCTACAGCAGAAAATAAGACAAAAAAACAAAAACGTAACAATTAGATGTTACGTGAAAAAATGTGAACCACTCACCACTACAGACTCCTATCAGGATCAACTGCAGCTTAATCACAGCTTTCATGTCTCTGTTCACCCGAGTCATTGTTGATCAGTGACTGTTAAAAACATAAATGCATGCAACAGCTGATGTATGTCCCATTAATGATTAGTTTCAAAAGAAAAACTATGCAAATACCTTTCAGTTACAGGTGAAATGAGGAAGGAAGCTCAGCAAACCTAAAAAAAAACAACCAAAGCAATAAAAAGAAGAAGAAAAAGTAAGAAGATTACAGTTTGCTGTAAGCCGTTGTCCGACTAGTTCGGTACAGAGTTAAAATGTGTCAGATGAAGTCCTGGTTTGATGCAAATGTATCGCTGAAATACACAAGCGATGACAAAAAATGCCTCACGTTACATGGGACACGTCACTGCTAAATTTTGTGCACCTGTTTTCAAGATAAAAGCGTTACAAACCATCTTCCTTTGTGGGTTATCAGTAGCTTGGTTAAGTGCAAGAAAGCAGGTGAGCATTTTTCATCGACGGTGGCTGAAATGGAGCCAATAAAAAAGAACAAAAACTTTCATCTGGAAATATTTTTAGATCACCGATCACAATATAATTCTTCAATTAACCCCCGCCCACGAGAAGTCATAGAAATTTCCAAAAAAATAAACATAAAATGTTTAATCAGGAAAGACACGTCAATCTCACACAGCAGAAAAGACTGAAGGCCATTGGATGAGTGAAATGTCGTCTTGTTAACTACGAATAATCAGAAGAAGTCACAGAAAAAGAGAATTTAGAAGGATTTTAGTTTTTCAGGAAGCAAGTAAAAAACACAAAGCTGTCTGTCTGTCTGTCACTCTCACTCTTTCCAAAAATGCATGTTCTGGGAAATCAAAAAGAAAACACAACCGCAACTAATGGTCAACCTATTGGTAGTACTGCCTTGGTTTCAAAAAGATGACGTTGTTGAATGGGCTTCATTAGATCCCACTGTTTCTAGACATGGGTTTGACACAAACTTTGAGACAATGTTGAATTCAAATATTTTTGAAATATGATTTGTTAATGTGAAAACGCTGTCAGTTTTAGTCCACCAGCAGATAGTGAGCAATGAATGAAGCAATGAGTAATGAACTTTTGGGCTAAACAGTGGACTGGACAGCCTCATTGCTTCACTACTTAACTTTGAATTTGTGTATTATGTGAATAAAAGGTTTTATAAGCAGTAGGAAAAGCATATTGAACATTACATAAAATAATATTTCATGTAGGTATCAAGTAGATTTCATGAACTAATAGAAATTACAAGAACTTTTTTTTTTTTGAAAAAAGATAAGAGCTTTATCTGACAACAACGTATTTATCAGTGCTGGTTTCCTTAATTTTGAGAGTTCGGTGACCGGCCGATATTTACATGTGGAACCGATCTTATCAACTGATTTTATCTACCTCGGCAAACATCTAAAAATCAACCATTGTCCTCTTTTGTTCTTCTTTGAAAAAGGTTTGACTGATAGATAAACCCACCAAGTTGTGACTGCATGTCTACTGTTAACAATAGTTGCCAATGTTGCCAGTTCAGAATCTTTATTGCTATTTTGAGCAACATTTCAGACAAAAATTATCCTTTATAAAGGTCAAGCTTTTCAAAACATTGGTTATCGGTGTTCGAGCAGAAAACTGCCATCGGTGCACTCCTATTGCAATACAGCAACCAGCTTGATGAACAAAAGTATGCATCCATCCATCATCTCAGCCTCTGATACAGGGAAAGGAGCTCAAAGTACTTTGGCGTCTCTGCTCTGAAAGCAGCCAGTTGAGATGAATCAGTGATATCAGTGGCAATACAGCAGTACCAGAACCTACTGGAAGGATTATATATGTGTTTAACCTTTCTAACCTGGGAACACATGGTCATAGATTGCATTGGCTAGCATGTAGCCTCAGAATAGGGAGTTTTTTTTTCCTATTCTGGTTTTAAATAACTCTTACGCAAATACAGGAAGAACATTGGAAATAGAGTAGAAGAATGTCAGAAATATGGTATTTATTTTCCCACAGTGGGCAAATTCAGGTTCAATACCAGTATTCCATATAGGTTCATAGAAAAGATGAAAAAGTGTTAAAAAATATTTTAAATGCCATGGCAGCAATATCACGCTGTTCAAGATTTTAAAATAATAATAATAAAAAAAAAACTGTGAAGTTATTGGAAATAGAAACATGTTGAACTTATGATCCAAGGAATGTGCAACTGAGTAGGAACTTTCCTCTTTAAAAAGTTCAAAAAGTGAATGCATATTGAACAATAAAAGACAACAGTTTACAATACATATCTCAGTAACACAGTATAAAATGGTTTACAATGTATACTCTATGGTGTCCTCATCTTGACTGTCTAAAAATAGTTTTTGATCATTTTGTGCAAAATAACTAAAACTAAACATGCACAATTTTCCCAATTAGCAAAACTACTTCCTAGTATTTTAGGGAATATCAATGCAGAGCATCAACAAATTAAACTTCACAGTGATCAAAACATTTGTGGCAACATCAGACATCCTGCATTATGAGCTTTAATGGGTTGTAAAGTTTTCTAATGTAAAATCGCAATAAAAGGGGATTCCAGCTTTTTCATCTGTCTGTCCTCAGAACATTGTACATTATTTGAACTGATATTCAGTTCAGGATGTCTGTTTTAAAGAGCTGAAATCAGCCTGCAGACTTGATCTGGCCATATTCCACTTCCTCTTCCACTTTTTGCTTAATTGAGCTCCTCGATGGCTTCTGCACTGTTGTAACAACAGCGTAGGTTAAATCGCTGGGATCTTCCGTTTCTGAAAATTAACAATAAGGGTCACTTACTGTTGGTAAAACTTAAAAAAAAAAAACATACCTCCTGTACAATGACAGTTTTCCACAAAAAAAAGCAAGCATAACTTTTTTGATATTTGATTTGTACCTCTGCGTTTTTGTTTTTTCCTCCGTGCATAGACGACAATTAAACTGATGAAAAGAAGAAAAATGCCGAAAATACTTGAAGTGATAAGTCCAATGCTCAATGAAGAACTGCCTGTTTCAAAAGTATAGGTAAAAGGAAACAAGTTAATATAGAAAGAGAGAGCAACACAAATGTGAAACTGTTCAAACATTCTGAACTTCTTGTTGCTCTGAACCAGAATTCAGTCCTGAAGTCTCATCAGATAAGAATAAACACTGGCTTCCTCAATTTAAGCTATGAATGCTACTGATAAAAGATGTGTCACTTATTAAAGTCTGAATATTAAAGTATAATTGATAATTTGTTGGACTTGATGTTAAACACAATTATGCATCACATTAGGAAGAAGTTATGAAATCAAAAAGCTTTTCACTTGATGTTCAAGACTTGGACAGGAACCCAACATGGGCAGGCAGCTTTTAGTTTAGTCTTGCCAGTTCTTGGTTATTAATTTGGTTGAAATTCACAGTTTACTGCTTCTATCTTTGTTCTTTTTAATGTAATTTTTCCTTTCTGTACATTTAAAACTTTCTATAGACTGATTTGCATCACTTTGTGTATAAATGTTGGCATGCAAATAAACCTGTCTGGCAGAAATAAAAAAAAAAATCAATACTTAATATAAGTTCTAGTAGAGATCATGAAAAGTATAATTTTACAGTGTTTTAATCAGCTAGACATATTATCCATATTATGTCAAATAAACCAATCTAATTTTATTTTCTTGTAAGGTATTTACCTTGAACAGACAAATGAAGAGTCCGATTTTCTGCCCGCTTCCCATCTGAACTAAAGACTGTAAGGTTATAATCACCACTGTCACTGTGTTGCAGGTCACTAATCCTGAATGTTCCATTAATGGGTATGAAATCAGATCTGTCTTTTATTTCATTTGTAGCTGTTTCGTTTATCCTCCATCTTAGTAATGTTACATGTTCCTTTCTCAACTCAAATCTAATTCCTGAAGCGTCGTCAATCAGCCGTACAAACACAGTTTCTCCCAAAGTCGCACTGCATTGAGCGCCATCTTTTCTGGCATCGCAGTGAGCTGACAAACCTGAAATATAAAAAAATATAAAAACCAGTTTTTACAATTATAATTATAATTAAAGAACAATGAATTTTCTGAGACAGTCAATACTCACCCGTACTATTATGCATTATGTCTCACTGACAACTAGTCAAAGGCGTTGACATTTGATTAACTACTTTAATAACAATGAGATTGAAAAGCACATGTGAAGACAATAACATTATACTTTTGTGTTTTAAAATTTCTATAATTAGTGTTATTGCTTTTGTTGATTTTTTTTTAAAGTCATGTTGGAGTTGAGCATACTCCACTAAAACGTAAATATCAACTAATATTATATCATCATGTTTCAGAAATATCGCCACTCAAAGATGTAAAGAAATGTGTAAGAAGAAAAAGCAGAAGATAGAACATGGAAGCTTTTTTATGGTTTTGCTGCTCAAACTAAACACGTAAGACTAAGCTGCTTAACAACACGAAGGACAATGATAAGTGTATTTTAAATGTAGTTTTAATGTAGTGATGCAGTTGTTTTTTACTGTAAAGCCATTTTCTTTAAAGTATGGCCAACATTTTATCTAAATCTCTAATAAAACCCTGATAACGTAACTTGAACAATATTTTTCACTCACCTTGAGAAACTCCCAGTAACATCAGCAAAAGTCCAACAGCTGCTGCCATCTGTCTTTATTATTCAGCTTTGTTGATTATCAGCTCTCAGTAATCTTTGACAAAATCCTTGGAGGACTGAACTCCTGTCACTGACAAAGAGAGAATGGAGAGAAATAAAAAAGGAAGTGAACATGCGGGCTACTTGCACAAAGACGGAAGCTCATGGCATCACTACAAAAAAACTATGAAATTGTCAAAACTGAGCGGTCAGAAAAAACCCCACAAAGAGTGAAAACTTATATACTCATGAAATTTTCTTTTTTTTTAAATCAAGATGATTAGACGTGAGTTTTCTCAAAGTAACAGCTGGCAATTGTTCACATTTCTTTTTTTCTATTTTTGTTTTACTTTTCCTTTGGCTAATACTTAATCAAAAGTTAATTGAACTTCAATATAATGCTTTCCTCAAACTATTTGTGAGTATTTACTTTTTGGATTTTGTCACTTTGATAGAAAAGAACACCAAAATATATTTTATGCCAGGCTAACTAACTAATCTCAATAAGAGGAAGATATAAAGGAAGAATAAGGTTTAGAAACGATGTCAACTAACTGATGTGAAAAATTATTAAAATATTAATATTAACACATGAAGTTTAAAAGTTCACTGTATATCTAAAGGACATGGCAAATCTAAAGCAGACGTGGAACAAAGAGGCAAAGAGTTGAGCTAATCTAACTGGTGACTGATTTTGTTGCGACTTGCTGAAAATATTCATAGGCTTGTATCATCTTAGAGCAGGCACAGTTCTACCACAGAAAAACAGAAAATAAGTCTGTGTTCAACATTGAGCTTGCTTATTTTTAGACACCAGTGAAGAGATGTGTCTTTTCAAGTTGGGCTTTTGTAATAAACCACTTCCCACAGCAATTGTAAGTGCTGCCCTTTTTTTGCTGTGACAAAGCCAATCACCTTCACTGAATAAAATTAACTACTTAGTTTTATAGTTGATACTGACATCACAAAAAAAAAAAACGAAAAACAGCCAGGCTGTTTATGTTTCTGAAAGCTCACAACACAATTACACCCAAGCATTGGACGCAGATCACCTTTCTTTGATTTCAACATATTCCACAGAAACAGACTTCTTTGACTGTAAACCAATCAAAGTGAGCCCTCATGAATTACGTCCGCACAAAATATTTCCTGCCAACATCCAGAAAGAGAACCTGGTTGAGCGAGACAGACTGCAAATCCTCGCAAAATAACTGCAGGAAAACAACTTTAATAAATGTTACTCAACCTTAGGATGAATCTGTTAGTTATCCATCAGTTTGGTTCTCAATAAATAAACTATTTTGAGAAAGGGTAAGAACTATAAAAAACTATATAGTGAGTTAAAATTTTCACGAAAGTAAAATGTTCGTTTTGTGGCACATCTGTATCGTATTTTGAAGGAATATGTAAGTATGTATAATAATGACCTTTACATATAGTAATAAACATTTCCACATATCACCTCAGATGTCCACCAGACTCTCAGTTGCGCCATGTCAACTTTTTGGGATTCCCCTCCGTTCTTACGTCACCGCGCTTCCTGATCGGCTACTTGTCACATTCAACAGGCTGTCTAAACATATTTTAAAGTGATATGGATTTTCATTAAACCTGTTGCTAGAAGGGTTAAAAACTTAAGAAAAGTGGACAAATTAAGTGAGAAAATATAAAATGTATCCAGTGATTACTGCTGAATCAGGGTTTCTTTTTTTGTCTGGGTCAGAGCAAGGACGCAGGCAGACAGTACAACATGGCTGACAACATAAATCACATGAAGAGTAAACAAACTCCTGGCTGCTAACTCAGAAGATCACATGACTTAAACTGCAGGATTACAGCAGCTTCTGATTATAGAACAGTTTCAAGAGCTCCCAGCTTATCTTCTTGCATACAAAAAGGCAAAACTGAAAACCGTGACAGTCATGACAGGTTTAGAGAAGCAAAAGTCACGACAACAGTCGAATCGATAAGGACCTTTTAAATTCAGGAAAGAGCCAACATGCTGAAAGAAGGAACAAAGATGAAGTAGTTTTGCCTATAAATTATAAAAGGTCTAAAATAAAAGCTTTGTAATGCAAGATAACCTTTACCTGACCATGAAAAATATAGCGCTGAGAAAAAATTATCTCCTAAAAGACTTGTGCTTTTGCTTTTCTTCTCTCAACACTTAAATGTTTCATTTTAAGAAAGAATATTTCATATTAGACAAACATAAACTGCATAAATACAAAGCACAGTTAACAAATGGTTGTTCCATATAAGGATCTAACTACTGTAACTTGGCCCAATGCAGAAAGTAATTGCCTCCAGTACCTGGTAGCTGGTTGTGCAATACTTGGCTGCAACAACCTCCATCAAATATTTGTGATAATTGTTGCTAAATATTTTAAATAAATGTTGAAGAAAGGCACACCACTGTTGACATAGAATTTTAAGTTAGCACAATACTGCACAGGATAGCTTTGACACATATAAAATATAACATAGAAAGTTAAAGTACACTCTAGGTTCATATAAATTTAGATGAAACTAAAAACAACGGCTCAATCTCTGAAACGCAGATAAATTCTTAAAAGGAGGATCAGACAGAAAAAAACAGAAAACATAGGCCTAGACTCCTTGGATCTCTTTAGATAAGGAGCCTGTATGCCAGGCAATTAACAAATTCCTGAGCATGGTTCAAAAGTTCACTAGGATCTTAAAACTTTTTAAAATAATTTTATCTATATTAGAATTAACTATATTTCTTTAAGCATGTTTTTATATAGTTACTTATTAGATCCAAACTTATAGTCATTATTTAGCATTACATTGTGTGCAAGCTTGGTTAAAATACAAACTACTTTTTTGTGAAAAACAGCTTGAGGAAGAGATAGCGCTGCAGCTGCACTCGTATATCAAACTGGACAGCGGCAGGTACGAAAAGAGCCGGGCCATATATCTGCCTTTGGGGCTCTTGAGCAGGAGGTAATAAAATTAACATTAAGACAGCCCACACAAAGGAAAAGAACACACCTCCTAATGCATATATTTAAATGATGAGATTACGCATTCTATAAAATGATTTGGTTTACAGCAGAAGTTCGAATCGCTTGGTGCTGAGTGAGTGGTTCCCAAAAATGCATTTTTGAATCAGGTAATATTCTGTTTTGTCATTGGGTGTTGGCTTTTTGATATATCTGGGTGTAAGTGGTGTTCTGTTATTCTGTATGTATTTGTATTCACCTTTGGATAAAGTTATGGATATCTGAAATCTGACGTTGTATGATTGGTGTTTTCTCTCTGCACACTTACACAGACACAGGAATTCGGGACAAAGAATTAATTAATGAGCTAAATCAAGTTCGTCATCTTTTTAATTCTTAACACCACCTTCTATGCAAAGTTTTGAGGCATTAATGGCATTAATTAGATTCACATCCAGACCCTAAATAGATACCTCATATAGATTTTTTTGGAGCCATTTAGAAGCTATTTTGAGAGACCAAAACTTTCAGAAAATTTAGATTTTCTCTGATCAGTCCACAGAATAGTTTTCTGAATTTTGGTGATGAGGGCTCATAAAGATGTTTACCTTTTAGAAGCCTGAGACAGGGTCTTGTGTTTTGTGGGAAGGGGTGTGTGGAGAGGGGCTCAGTCATGGTTTTGGCCCTGGAACTTTCCCAAAGGAGCCATTTTCATCCAGTTTGTTTCTTGCTAGATCTCTTCCTTTGAAATCTTCACCCACCACTCGAAATGCTCCAGCTGCTTCTCAAGACAAACATCCAGGTCACTCAACGAATATTTGCCTGGGAGGAAACAATTACAGTGGCGGAGCCAGAGGGGTGGCCAGGGTGGCACTTGCCACCCCCAACAGACCCCTGGCCACCCCTAGTGCCACCCCACTGGAAATGGTCATTTTAAAATATAATACTTATGAGATCGGCAAAGATTTGCCAGGAAAACTGTAATTTCCGACTGTCCCTGAAGGCAGCTCGATGCCCGACGCTGTTCACTGGTTAAACTGGCATGTGGGTCCTGCTTGATCCAAAACACATCAAAGGCTTTAGAGTTACACCGTCGAGGAGTTTTGAAGGTATTTACATTTTACCGCTCAGCGGTAACCGCTGTTACCTTCCTAATGAGAGGCGGCACTTGTCATACATTTCTAAAAATATAAATGGTTGTGCACCGCTGCGTAGTGCCTCGTTTATTATATTAGCCATGCTAGTGCTGGTAGATCGTGTTTTAGACAGATTCTTTTAACATATCTTTTAGTGACATGCTGCCCTCTAATGTTTTATATCTCTCAGCTCTTGCTTGAAATGTGTGGTAAGAATATGTGAAAAACCATTAAGTTTTATAATGACTGAAATGTAAGTAGGCTATGTCATATGAAAGCTTTGAATTATAACCTAACTTGTTATATTAATTAATTTATTTTTAATTTAGTATTTTAGCTAGCTACAGAAAACTAAAAACTATAGTTTAAATAATAGTTAAAATAGTGTTGTCTCTGCCAAACAGTCATGGAGTCTAAATACCAGGCTCTTATTTTGTGTAGAGCCCAAATGAAGAGAAAAGGGAATATCTGCCAGTTATTCTTAAAGAGGCAAAAACCAGGACCAGACAGAACCCTGCAGCAGTGACCAGGACCAGACAGAACCCTGCAGCAGTGACCCGGACCAGACAGAACCCTGCAGCAGTGACCAGGACCAGACAGAACCCTGCAGCAGTGACCAGGACCAGACAGAACCCTGCAGCAGTGACCAACCTGGAGAATCCAGCCAGGAGACACCAGGCCCAAGTGGATCACCAGCGGGTTAGAGGCTGTGACAGAGAGTTATTAAGTATTACAATCCAATAAGCCTAATTCTAAAGGTTAGCATGATGCTTTTTGCATTTTTTATGTGTCTGTTTATGCATTTCCAATTAAGTTCCAGAGAGAGATGAGGGTGATACAGATTCAGAGTCAGACTCTGGGAGGAAGACAGTGAAGCAGGAATGGCACTGAACTGCCCCCACCCAGCACAACCTATTGCACAACAAAAGCACCAGTTTATTTATTTATTTATTTTTGAGAATTTGTTTTTGGTTATATTCTGGGCTCTGAGTTTACATTTACATGTTCACTGTTCCATAGTGCCGTTAATCTTAGTTAAAACAACCATTTTAATTTGAGTGTGTGTGAGAAAATATTTGTTTCCTTTTGTTCATCATTTGTATATGGACCCCTCTGATAAAGCCTTGCTCACCCTTTGGCCAGCCCTTGAAAAAAAGTCTAGCTCCGCCACTGGAAACAAACCAGCAAGAAAAAAAAAACAAAAAACGCCACTGCAGGTTGGGTCAAGAATTTTAACGGCCAAGTCTCACACACGACGCTTTTTCACACACTGAACTTAACAATACAAAGGAGCCTAAAGAAGCCTTTCAGACTATAGGATGGCTGAACAACAGGCTGTATATAGATAATGATTAGCTGGAAAATAGAACAATAACAATATTCACCAAATCATTAAGTTTTAGTAATCTAGAGAAGCAGATTACTAGATCTGCTTCTCATAATAGTGTGAACCATAATAGTGGATCACATTATTATGTGTAGAACACACATAATAGATTTGTGTGATCCAGGTTCCCAACCTTAATAATTCTTATTGTTCTTTTTTCTAGCTAATCATTATCAATTGATTTTGACCAATAGATAATAAATTTGCATAGTTATTGCCCCATATTCCTGCACATTAACTGAAGTAGGGTAAAACTAGAGGGCAGTATAGTACATGTAATGTACTATACTATACGATACGCACACACACACACACCCACACACAAATTCTCTTTGATTTTTTATTTCCTATATATTGAATATGTGGCTTCCAATTCAGTATACTGTTTCTAAAGTAACTTTCACCCAATTCAATACATTCTCTGGAATCCCATATCTTATTTATTTATTTATTTATTTATTTATTAGTTAACGTCCAATATTAAATCCTCTCCCATGTCCAGATGCCCCCTGGTGGTGGTTGAGGAGAAATTTTCCATATTAAATCCTCTCCCATGCCCCTGTAGTGAAATCCCAGCCAGACAATATAAACATTTATGCACAGACACACACACACACTCCCTCCCCCCCACACACACACACACATACCCACACACACTATCTTATATGACATTTTTTGGCATATGGTAACACTTGAAGACATCTCACTGTCGTGTTTGTTGAAGACCCAAAATACAGCAGGACAAAGGGATGTGACTGGCATAGTGGAAATTTAATGAAAAAAAGAAAAACCTACAGAACATGAGAAAACCAAACAGGCATTTAGGAAATGATGAGAAGAGAAAGAGTTAAATAATGAGACATATGATTACCAGAGTGAATTGAGTCAGCCATGACAGCGACATGCTAAGGAAACTGAAGTAAAAGGTGACAATAAAATTCAAATACTGGAGCAACATGACTTAAATTTAAGAAGGAACTGAAAAATAAATTCAGGCACAGAGCATAAAAGCACAAGGGATCTTAAAACTAAAGACTGCACGTAATAAAGAAAGCAAAATAAAACAGAACAGTAGTTAAGTTCCTCAGTTATGCATGTTTGTTGCATTCATAGTTCCAAAAAGATTTGTTTCCTCGGAACCAGTAACAGGAAGAGAGATGAGGAACAAAACATTTTAATCCACAAGACAGCACACAGACATGCAGTCTGAACAGCCTGAGAATCAGTTACACAGCAAACCTTCATGGATGGATGGATGGATGGATGGATGGATGATTGGTTGGAGTCCTTGTCAAATAGTATTTTGACTAAAGTACCAAAGGGTTGGAGGCCCAGCTGATACTTCTCAGCTAAATTCCCAGGTTGGAGGCCTTGTCAGAACAACTTGACTAAATTCCCAGAGGGTGGTTCAACTAAAATCTACAAGAGAGGTGTTTTTAGAGTCCCTCATTTTATGAGGACTTCCCATAAGGAAGAATCCTCGCACTGATAGAAAATTGTTTGTTGCTGCGGTTTTTATTGCCATGTCATTGCTGTTGTGTGTGTGCATACAAGAGTGAGTGGTGCTCATCTCTCTCTGTGAGTAAAACTTTTTGTCCTCGGAATTAGAATCCTAAGTGAAGAACCGGACTGAGGCTAGTCTTTAAGTTGCATGACTTTGTGTTTTGTGTTTTTGATGTAAAGCACTTTGAAATGCCTTGTTGCTGAAATGTGCTATATAAATAAAATTTGATTGATTGATTGATTGATTGATTGATTGATTGATTGATTGATTGATTGATTGATTGGATGGATGGATGATTGGATGGATGATTGGATGGATGATTGGATGGATGGATGATTGGATGGATGGATGGATGGATGAATGGATGGATAAATGAATGATTGGATGGATGATGGGATGATTGGATGGAAATTGCTTCACATTCTTCTAGTTTCTGTTGTTTTGCAGTCGCTGTAAACTTCCTAAATTGCTTACATAGGTTTTTTTTCAGAGATTTGCATAGATACTCTCATCCACATTTCCATACAAATTGTTGTCCATATTTCCATATATCACATCATCAGACCACCTCGGTTGTTTTTTAACTCTGCCATACTCCGCTTTGGTATCTCCGCTCTGCTCCTGTCGCCTCCTCCCCTGATCAGCAGTGGTCTGTTTTCTGTCATAAATAATTTCTTCTGAAGAAGAAGAGCAGCAAGGAGAGGTACAAGATAAATATGAAATTGTAAACTTCATGTTTGCTTATGAAAACTTAGCAAATTGAGATGAATGGTACCTTTGTGGTTTGTTTTTTTCCTCTTCACACAGAAAATTCCGATGCTGACAACTAGGATAATTAACAGAGCTCCAAGTACGCCACTTATTATTGGCAATAGTGCTGTTCAAAAGTGACGAAAAAAATAAATGTTTAAGAAAGGTAATGTGATTTCATACATATTTGTGATTAAAGAAAGAAATAATACATTATTACATTCTCTACAAAAGAGGTTTTCACTTCATAAAATACCAACATTGTTCAAGAATAGATTTAAGGTTGTGTTTCTAAATCTGCCATCTCACCCATGATGTTCAGTGTCTCTGGTGAAGGTTCAACACACAGAGTGTTATTTTCTTTAAACACCCACTTAGATATGCGTATACCATTTGAAGTGCAGTTTACAAAGTCTGTATTCAAAGAAAGCAAACAAAAACTATTATTTACGTGGTGATCAGAGTTATTAGGTTTAAATAATCTATCTTTTCCACTCACCACAGGAAGATGTGATTTTCTCTTTGAGAAGAGAACCGACTTTAGTCCTGACTGAGCAAACCAGGCGTCCTGCAACGTTTGGTTTCAGGACAATGGTGTTAGACTGAGTATTTTCAGAGAGGAGCTCAAGGTTTGACAGTTCCTTTCCATTCAGAGTCCAACTGTATTGAGGATTATTCCCTCCTTCAGAAAGACAGGACACATTCACCTGTCCTTGGGACAAACACTCAGCAAACAGTTGGACAGAGGTCACAGGAGCTGAAAGAGAAATTACAACAGTTTTAGAAAATATTTAATTTTCAATGAAGAACAGAAAAGGCATTAGTGGTAGAATCATGCTCCTTGTTGAATAAAGGCTACATTATGTGTCTCAGTAAAATATATGAATGAACTTTAACAGTAGGAAAAACTTGAGTCACCTTCAAGAGACAAATTAAATCTTCGATATTCTTTCTTCTTTCCATCAGAATCAAAGATTTCCATAGCATATTCACCACTATCAGTCATCTTGAGATTACTGATACTAAATGTACCATTGCTTGAAATAAAGCAATATTTCTCCTGAAGAGGATTCAAAATAACTTCATTCTTTTTTATTGTAAGGATTATTGACGTTGTATGTTTTATTTGATAATGCTGCGATTCTGAGACGCTGTCCACCAGTTTGACACACACAGTTTCTCCCAGAGGTCCAAAACACAGAGCTCCATCCTGTCTGCCATCACAGCAAGTTTCCACTCCAGCAGAGGCTTAAAACACAAAGAAGAAAAATTATAATATTTGTGCTTTTGTTCTTACATAAAGAGCTGATTGTTTTTTTTTTTTCTGTATTCAAATAAGCATCACTTCCTGCTTCTTGAAACCTTTGTCTTACTCTACAACATCACTTTCCCATTTCTTATTTGTTTCCTTCATTTATGTGTTGTTTCTTTAAACACAACAACTCACTCAGTTAATTCCTTTATCTGGATAAAAAAACAATTATAGGACCAATCTTATGCTTTTCAAAGGAATTGTGACAGTCAACCGAAACAGGCAATGCTACAAAACTTTCCTATGAAGTATCAAAAATAACTCCAAGCAAACATGTATTTGTCTGTCACACTTACTATTCAAGATAGTTTTATTTCCTATTCATAGACATTCACGCTCTGTAATAATTTGCCCACCTGTATAAGATTGAAGTCAAATTTAAATACAGCATTTTAAAACTACCATGAAAAACAACATACTCACTCACCATAAGACATGAAAAGTAGAATCATCAGTAATCCAGCAACAGCCTCAATGACTGTAGACCAGTTTCCAGGCCACATTGTTCAACAGTGAACTGTGTAAAATGTTGTGTTACTAATCAGTCTGAGAAAAAAAGACGCTTGTACTGACATGAAAAAGGGAAGTGATAATAACTTAGTCATCTCTTGACTGAAATACTAAACACCTTCCTCCAACCAGGTCGTTGGAAGAACCAAGTTCTTCTAAAAATGTATTTATTTGTAGTAAAAAAACTAAACATCTTTTTCCTTACATTTTATAACACAAAATCCACAACATACAAACTTTACTTTGTGATACTAAGCACAAAGTATCACACTTTGTGTACTTCTAGTGTCACACTTTGTGTACACAAAATATCACACTTTGTGTACTTCACGTATCACACAAAGTGTGATACTAGACACATAAACATGGGGTTTTTAAAACATTTTATTAGTAAAATTCTGGAACATGTGTCATATTTAGCTGTGTTGATATCCCTAAGTTAAAAAATATGCTATGACACATACAGTGGAATATTTTCGATCAAAGCATGCACATAAAAATTGAAAAATCCTGAAAATTGATGTTGAGATAGCTGATTCCTATCTATTTTAAGTAATCTTTAGGCAATTTACAAAGAACAATTGGCAAACATTTCATACTCCAGGTGTGCAGGTCTGGTACAATTTCAATAGTGTGATGGCTTCTGGAAGCCAAATGCAAGCAGAGAGAAGGTAAGTTGAAATGAAAGTTTTTCGACAGATTACTTTTGTTCACAGTCTAAATTAAAAGTAAAGTGAGGCAACCAAAACTAAGATTAATACCAAAGGTGAAGTTAATTTATGTGACAGCAACGTCTGGAGACTAACAGTGAATAACAAGAAACAGGAGTTGGAAACACAGAGGGATGACTCAGTGGCGGAGCCAGAGGGGGCTCCGGGGTGGCACTTGCCACCCCCAACAGACCCCTGGCCACCCCTAGTGCCACCCCACTGGAAATGGTCATTTTAAAATATAATACTTATGAGATCGGCAAAGATTTGCCAGGAAAACTGTAATTTCTGACTGTCCCTGAAGGCAGCCCGATGCCCGACGCTGTTCATTGGTTAAACTGACATGTGGGTCCTGCTTGTTCAAAAACACATCAACGGCTTTAGAGTAACACCGTGGAGGATATATTTACATTTTACCGCTCAGCAGTAACCGCTGTTACCTTCCTAATGAGAGGCGGCTCTTGTCATACATTTCTAAAAAGAAAAAAAAAATGGTTGTGTACCGCTGCGTAGTGCCTCGTTTATTATATTAGCCATGCTAGTGCTGGTAGATCGTGTTTTAGACAGATTCTTTTAACATATGTTTTAGTGACATGCTGCCCTCTAATGTTTTATATCTCCCAGCTCTTGCTTGAAATGTGTGGTAAGAATATGTGAAAAACCATTAAGTTTTATAATGACTGAAATGTAAGTAGGCTATGTCATATGAAAGCTTTGAATTATAACCTAACTAGTTATATTAATTAATGTATTTTAATTTAGTATTTTAGCTAGCTACAGAAAACTAAAAACTATAGTTTAAATAATAGTTAAAATAGTGTTGTTTCTGCCAAACAGTCATGGAGTGTAAATACTAGGCTGTCTTATTTTGTGTAGAGCCAAAATGAAGAGAAAAGGGAAGATCTCCCAGTTCTTAAAGAGGCAAAAACCAGGGCCAGACCAGGACCAGACAGAACCCTGCAGCAGTGACCAGGACCAGACAGAACCCTGCAGCAGTGACCAGGACCAGACAGAACCCTGCAGCAGTGACCAGGACCAGACAGAACCCTGCAGCAGTGACCAACCTGGAGAATCCAGCCAGGAGACTCCAGGCCCAAGTGTATCACCAGCGGGTTAGAGGCTGTGACAGAGAGTTAAGTATTAAAATCCAATAAGCCTAATTCTAAAAGTTAGCATGATGCTTTTTGCATTTTTTATTGTGTCTGTTTATGCATTTCCAATTAAGTTCCAGAGAGAGATCCACATATTCTCTGTGGATCTGCAATGAGTCTTTACCAAAGCAAACATCAGTTCATTTATTCTTTATTTGGCTGTACTCCACCTCTTCCTCTATGTTTTGCTTTACTGACTTCCTCTCTTTCTGCTGCACCACTCTGACATCAGCATAAGTTAAGTCAGCAGGGCGTTCTTCTCCTGTAGAAAAGCAAGAGTTAGTCACTCAACCGTGATAAACAGATATTTTGACAAACATTCTTCTCACTAGAGTTTTCACAATTTCTCTCCTTCAACATATAAACCTTTACATAGCAATATTTGGAAATAAGCATTAATTAGTACCTTTTCTTTTTTGCTTTTTCCTCTGAACACAGATGATAATTGCACAGACAACGACATGGGTAGAAAACAAAAGCAGAGCAGATTGCTCCAATTCTTAGTGGGGACTGGCCTGTTTCAAATACAAAGAACGTTAGTATAGTGGAAAATAATAAGAAAGCAGCAGCCAGTTCTGCTGCAATGTCAGACATCAATCAACAGGTGCAGTTGTATTTATTTATTTTTGAGAATTTGTTTTTGGTCATATTCTGGGCTCTGAATTTACATTTACATGTTCACTGTTCCATAGTGCCGTTTAACGTCTTGTTTGGTCATGGCAAATCTTGTTAAATAAACCATTTTAATTTGAGTGTGTGTGAGAAAATATTTGTTTCCTTTTGTTCATCATTTGTATATGGACCCCTCTGATAAAGCCTTGCTCACCCTTTGGCTAGCCCTTGAAAAAAAGTCTAGCTCCGCCACTGGGATGACTGAATAAATACAACCAGGAGGAAACCTGTGGCAGAAACACTGGGATGGGAAGAACCCAGTTAGAAAACAGCTGAGCAGAAGAAGAAGCATTACTGCCCTTATGCTTTTAATGCATTTATTATGTCTCAGAAATTAGAGGTCAATGTCAGATTTGGACAAATGTTGAGACGATAGTAAAAATTGTGAAAAATATCCATTCTCAGTAAGAGACACATCTAGAAAGGAGCAATCAGTACAAATGGATCTGTAATATAAAACCGACTGCACACAAAAAACAATCTAAATATTTTTCCTCTTGTGATTTGATGGTGAAATTGAGGTGCTCATCATCTGGCTGAAATTCAAAACTGTTTTTGAAAAAAATAAATAAATAAAAAAACTACTTTTTTTGCTGTTAACTTGGTAACCTGCTTTCTAAACAAGCACAAGCAAGAGAGACTGTAGAGTCTACAGTCTAGACCAAACAGATGGATAAAGATTAGATTATCTGGTACATAGAGAAAGTATAAAAGTTATTTGTGCTCACGATTTGGATGCTGTAAATTTCTCTAGCTTGAATAAAAGTAACCCTTGCAGGGAACAACACATTTAAACAACACATTTTGTGACTATGTTGCAATCTGGAAAATTCTTCAAACTACTTGCACTGACTGCAATTGAAACATAGAAATTATTCTCAGAAATTGATGCTTGTGTTTTTTGATGTAAATGAAGGAAGTGTGGTTGACTTATTTCGGTTCCTCAAAACTGCAAAGACCAGTAAAAGGTCTGACTTTTATTAGTAACTGCAACGTTTGGAGGTCGACCACCAAACGTTGCAGTTTGGAGGTCTACCAATAAAGGTCTTTTACTAGTAGACCTTTTATTGGTCTACTAGTAAAAGGTAGACCTGTAAAACCTAAACAAAAAGGCTAGGTTAAAAAACTTAGCCTTTTTAGGCTTCTTGTCTTGCTCTGTTTCTAGTGCATCTAACCAAACTATGTCCTGCTCTGTACAAAAAGTGTGAACGTCAGACAGAAACAAATTAAACAACGACAGAATCATAATACTTTAGAACTGCTATAAAAACTGCATTGTGAGAGCACTTGTGTAAGAATGTGTGAGCATCTTTGTTCCTGTTTTCTATCTTGCCTGTCAGTAACTGCCTATAAAGGCAACTAATGCCTGAATTGCCTGTCCAGGATGTATTCTCTAGGATAGCTGGCAAAGTTCCCTTCCCATCAGAGCCCTGAAAAGGATAAGTGGGAACAGGAAGTGAACAAGAGAGGTTTGCACCAAATACCATCTTTTTCTTTGGGTCTAACCTGATATTTTCTTTTCTTAACCCAAACAAGAAGTTATCTTTCAAATCTCACTTTGTGTTTAACTATGACAGATACCTTTTGAAGAGACCAATCATGCAAGAGCTATAACAATCAAGTCTGTGAGTAACAGCCCGGTTACATGTTTGGGATGGTACAAAGTTACTTTTGTAATTTTCGTACCTTTTTCCTTTTTTACTGAAATAAGATTTTCACACATTTGAATTGATGGCTTACAAATATGTTGACATGGCCAGTGCAGTGGCGGCGCCAAGGGGGCGCTGGGAGTGTTATAGCTCCCCTGAAGAAGTCATAGCACCCCCAGAAAATATTAGATGTATTTATCTTTTTTTCCATCTGATTTAACATTACTTATATGCAGTTGTTGCGGCATTTTCTTCAAAAGACACAAAATAAATTATATACTGAGTTAAAAAAATCCCACAAAAGGATTTGAACTTCTATGGGTATCCTTTTGTCATGAATGCTGTTTTAACCTAAACAATGCAACATTATCTGGATGTCATTTGGCTAAAGGCTCAAGGCTTCGTGCTGATGTCTAAGTGTCAAGTAAATGTAAATCAGTCTGATTAAAATAACAATACTAATGTGTGTGTGTGTGTGTTGATAACTCGGGGGAAATAAGATCCATCATAGCATCCTCAGTAAAATGCTTAGCTCCCACTTAGCACCTGCAGAAAAAACATTCAGGAGCCGCCACTGGACCAGTGGATAGAATGAAACTACCAGCAAAACAGACTATTTACATACAAGTACTTAGGCTATTTATTGTTAGGTTTCCCTCTGCTGTTAGACAAAAGGTACTGTTTCTTAGGTCTGACTTTAAACAATTTTACTTTTTTAAAAATCTTTTGGCCATGGGTATTAATAACTATGTGTCTGATTGTATTTTTTTTATTATTATTATTAAAATTGTGAAAATTGATGTATGTATTTCTATTCAGACATCTATTCTCAGTAATTTTTATTTTTTTTTAATTCCAGGGCATTCAAGATTACCTTAAATAATTGCCTGTTGGGTGAACAGGCAACTAATCTCAGTAGTAATAGTGCTGTTCTGTTAGAGAGAAAACACCATCATGAAGTCCAACAGACAGCAAACAGGTCAGGTCAAGTTGAGGAGAGGGTCTAACGTGTTGAACATCTCACACAGCAGAATGTACATGTAAAAATGTACATCCATCTAACTGCAGTAATTCAGACTCCTTGTGACTCTGTATTAGTTAGTTATTCATCCTCTCTCACAGCAGAAAGTCATCAGTAATCTTTCATCTCTTATTCCGATCACTAATCATCCACATCGCAGGTCATTAAGTCACTTTCTGCTGCTCGACTACCTGCCTCTCTCACTACCACTTTCTGTAAGATGTCATTTGTTTTCCTCACTTTCTGAACCATCACTGCTTTTGGATTTTGTTCACATATTCAGTTTTGTTTAATTATTGACGAGTGATACAATAATATGAATTTTGATACGGAAAATGTATGCAGTTTGCCCCAGCATCATTAAAAAGTTAAGCTGATTTTTTTTTCTTTTAAGTACGAGGCATTTGTTAGTTTCATCATTAACAACTTTTATTTTGTTTTTTATTTGCATAGCCCATAGTGAGTTGCTGTGGAAAATATTAAGACTAATAACATGTTTTTCTTTGGACTCCAGCAAATTTGTCTCTTAACATTGTTTTTTTTGTAATTTAATGAGTTGGGTGGTTGCCAATTTGTCAAGACTTCCTTATCAAATTTAACATTACAGTCATGAACAAATATTCCAATTAAAATAAGCAAGCAGTTGTTTTTGCATTGCGGGCAAATATGGTTTCTTAAAAGTTTCTGAAGACGTTTTACTCCTGAAGCGTGTGCATCGTCATATTCTCTGTGGATCTGCAATGAGTCTTTACCACAGCAGACATCAGTTCATTTATTCTTTATTTGGCTGTACTCCACCTCTTCCTCTATGTTTTGCTTTACTGACTTCCTCTCTTTCTGCTGCACCACTCTGACATCAGCATAAGTTAAGTCAGCAGGGCGTTCTTCTCCTGTAGAAAAGCAAGAGTTAGTCACTCAACCGTGATAAACAGATATTTTGACAAACATTCTTCTCACTAGAGTTTTCACAATTTCTCTCCTGCAACATATAAATATTTACATAGCAATATTTGGAAATAAGCATTAATTAGTACCTTTTCTTTTTTGCTTTTTCCTCTGAACACAGATGATAATTGCACAGACAACGACATGGGTAGAAAACAAAAGCAGAGCACAGATTGCTCCAATTCTTAGTGGGGACTGGCCTGTTTCAAATACAAAGAACGTTAGTATAGTGGAAAATAATAAGAAAGCAGCAGCCAGTTCTGCTGCAATGTCAGACATCAATCAACAGGTGCAGTTGTTTTTATTTCCACTTAAGTCATGAATGGAAGAATTATACAAATTATTTCAAATATTCAGATTATCAAGAGTTTATCAATTCAGTTTTGTGTGAATTTACCAATTTGAATTTGTACAGCAGACTTTACCTTCAATGTGCAATTGCAGAGTCCGTTCTCCTATTGCTTTTCCATCAGAATCAAAAAGTTTAAGTGTGTATTCACCACTATCACTGCTCCTAAGGTTGCTAATCCTAAATGTCCCATTGTTGGAGATAAATCCAGATCTGCTCTCCAATGTGTTTGTCACGAGTACGTTGTTTCTCCAATGTAATATTATCGCTGCTTCCTTTATCCACTGGAATATAATTTTTTCTGAGGCCTCATCCATCAGGTGAATAAACACAGTTGCTCCCCAGGGTGGAAAACATTCAGCTTCCTCGTATCTCGCATCACAGAAAGTTTTATTACCTGTATAATAGAAAAATGAAAAAGTTGAATGCAGTCTAAACAAACTATATCTGAGCTTTAAAAAAAACAGATTTCAACTAACACAATTGTTTAAATTGAAAACTACTTCGTAAAGACCTAAAGATTTCATTACAAGTCATTTCGCTCTTACAAGTCACAAAACACGCAAGCTTTGTTGTTGAAGATTTTCTGACTCTGTGACAAAGCTCTTATACAATTGAAACCAGAAGGTTACATACGCCAAATAAAGAGAGATATACAAAAAACAGGTTCTCACTGTCTGAAGTAAAATTAGATCAAAGTTACCAAAGTTATTTCTTTGTTAAATGCCCACAAAATTAGTAAAAATCCTTTTCTTTTTGATATTTACTAGATATTTTTTGTAAATTTCTTTGAATTTAGAAGTTTACGTACATTTGCACAGTGTCAGGTAGATATAATTGTTTTTCAAACTGTATAACTTGCTAGTTTATTGGAGTTCTGGACCGTTCCTCCTCACAGAACTGTTGTAACTTTGTTCAAAATATCCAGAACATTGTTTCCAACTCATCACTGATAAATTACTTTTACTTAGACATTAAAATCTCGGTACATTTAACACTATTGTGTTACTTCACCAAGGACACTACTGTGTAAAAACACATAATAGCACAAAATATAACACCAAATTACATTATTGGGTTAATTTTATGAGGATTTAAATCACATATTAGTGGCTATTGATTTCTTTAAATAGTTTATCGTCTATATCTCAACACAACTCCCTGGTTATATTCAAAAATGCCTAGAAATTATCGATAAAATCAATTTTAGTTTAAAGTTTCAGTGATAATTATAGAAGCCACATTTTGATTAGGTTGTAAAATAATAATTTGTTCTATAACCTTTTGAGCTGGAGAGGAAAAAACCTGCTTTTCTGAGTTAACGCTATATTTCTGTTGTTCAGTATGATGTATTATGAAGACTCTTCTATATTGAATCATTTCAAGAACTTTTAAAAGTTGTTTTACAGCTCAAGACTGTTCTGCAGAAAAAAAAATACTTAAAGCTCCTAATATAGAAAGGAAAACAGAAGAAGAAAAGAAAAGTAAAACTTGATGGACATAGTCAGATCAGAACTTTACTCCTGTTAATAAAAACAAAAGCCACGGATGGCATAAGACTTGAAGTGCCAAGAAACACTGGCAAATGTAAAATTAGGCTTAGTTTTAATTAAGGTCACAAGACGCAAAACAACTACGCTGCTATGTTGTAAATAAAACACTGGTTATTCCACATGTAATAACTCACCATAAGAGACTCCTATGAGCACAAACAGCAGTCCAACACGAGCCGCCATGTCCTTCTACATATGTTTCAACAGCAGCTGTCTGATTGATCATGCTCTGACAACCATGATCAATCGGAATCAAATGAATAATCAGAAGAAAAGCATAATATACCCACTACATAGAGGTGAAAAGGGAAGTGACTGTATCATCACATGAAGAAGTTTCTTAAGGGAAACTGACACAGACATCTTGCACAACCAGCTGTATGAGCTCAGGACTAAAAAAGGAGAACGGGCTGGACTAAAAACCCTAAAACAGAACCAAACCCACAAATATGACCAACTTCATGAAAAGGGCCTTTTTAATAAAACAGCTGTTTTGGATGATTGTAGCTGGAAAAATAAAGAAAGCTTGGATGATGAATTTAACATGTCTCTACTCCTGGGATTTTTATTTTGTATTTCGATCATTTTTTGGTGATTTTTGTTTTTTCTGACACATGTAATTTATTTATTACATAATTTATTCTCAAGTTCCACATTCCTTGTGTAATTCTTGTAAATGGTAAATGAACTGCATCTTTTCCTTCATTCCTTTATTCATCTTTTCCTTCATCTTTTCCAGTCATTTTGTCCACTCAACGCGCTCTACACTAGAGTCACATTCACCCATTCACTCACAAACGCACATTCATTCATACACGAATGAGTCGGTAGGCAATTTGGGGTTAAGTGCCTTGCCCACATCATGTGGCAGGAGGAAGCTGGAAACGAACCTACAACCCTCCGATTGCAAGACTGCTACTCTACCATACAGCCACAGTCGCCTGTACTGACCTCTTTGAAGGACTGCCTGTGCATTGTAGAAATAATCTTAAGATGAATTGTTCATTTTAAATGAACTGACTCATAATTTTAAATTAATTCATTGTCTGGTGTTTTGTGAGTTGTGTCGGTCTACTCATGTCCTCTTTAAACATGAGTGATAAATAAATTGACTTGGCGTGTCCTTAGTGTTTCGTGAGTGGTTTTTTTTGTATTCATTCGTTTCAGAGATGCAGATACAGCGAACAGTCAAAGCTACACAGGGGTAATACTTTTTGATCATTAACCAATCAAATGCGTTTTATCAGGAATATTTGGATGTGTTTTCTTTCTTATATTCAGTGAAATCAGAAGCAGACACATGACTTTATCGGCCATTTTATATTTATTATTGTCCTGGTTTCCCTCCCAGGACAATAATAAATATAGTATAAGAAGTCACTGATGGAAAGAAGAGGGGAAGCACAATGAAAAACATCTTCTGCAGCTATTTTTAGGGAAAACGTTATTTTCATCTTATTTTATTTACCTGCCTTTCTGTTATAGTGTACAGCAATGTTTCCCAACCCTGACCTGCATCCTTTAGATGTTTTCATGTCGTCCAATGTTTGATACATTTAGGTACTTATAAACCTCCACTGTTGCATCAAAAGTAACATTTTTGGTCTGTGTCTGCGGGACTGTGGTGTCTAAGCGATGCCACAGTTTGCTGCCTAAAACAATACAAATAGTAAATTATTTAATATAATTTTAGGATTATAAATTAACTATGTATCTTGAGTCACAGGCTGAGAAGCTGCTGCTACTGCTGATGAAGCTGCTGATGGGGAGGAGTCTCGTAAAACAGCAACATATTCAGAAATTAGCCTTTTTTCTGCATCTACTGCTTTGAGGAAACCTATCTTCTTAACTGTTTACATTCTATACAATTTTGCATTTAAAGTAAGAACGGTAACTCAATATCTTTTTTTAACCTTGATTAAAATTGATCAATACATAAAATTTGGTAAAAACTGTTATTGAAATGGTTTAAATAAACATTATTTTGGCTACTAATACTTTCATGGTATGAACATACTTATTTTAGAATTGTACTTTTCACCAATAAACATGTTTTACTATCCGTTAGAATTATACTCACCTTTAACCTGATGTAAATATGCTAATGTTTCCTTTTTGAAATGCTCACACTTTTTTTGTAACAATGCATGTGATTTAACCCACCTGTGTTTTCTGTTTGAAGGTTCATCACCTTACAGATACTGATACCTGATACAGATAAAGGTATCATCTGAATCACCTGTGCTACTGGTCAAATAAAAAAGAATTTGGTAAAATCTGAAATCTGATCCTTGTCCTTCAAGTGTGGAAACCACAGCAACTGAACCACTAGTCAGTAATACTCACAAGTAATTCTCCAGCAGAGACTCACTACACATTTAACCCTTTACCATACAAAGTTTGATCATCAGATAAGCCTGATTGCCACAGATTTCTGGCTACAGAGTAAAACGTTGTAGGAGGTTTCAAACACCATGTATGTTACATGTTCATTCCACTGCTAGGAATTGACAAAAGTAAATTAAAATCTGGAACAATGACTCAGTTTTAAAATTACTTGATCTCATGCAAGGTTTTGCTGTGTGCACTGATAGTCACTTGCCTATTTATGCTGAAAACCTAGAATTGACTGCTTGGTTGACAGCTTGAACTACTCCAAGGGCCTCAGAGCTCTGGGATTTTAGTCCAGATGGCTCCTTGATCCATAAACTTCAAATAAAAGCAATTGTAGTTGTGATGCAGCAGAATAATGTAAATTCAACCTTGATACCAATATTCATTATTCAAAATAAACACAACAGCATAACAAGACTTGATGTCTTGTTGAAGTCTCTCAATAAATCAACATTCTTTGCAGATGCACTAAACAGGAGTGCATTCTAATTTTTTCAGTCAGTGTTTATGTAAGAACCAGTTTTCCCTTCACCATATTGACACAACTGAAAACCTTTGACAAATGACAGGCAATAAATTCTATGTTGTTTATTTATTAAGTATTAGTCACTCTGATAAACAAATACATAAACACTTTCTAAAGTTAGAAAAATATACATTAAAAAATGCCTATGAACTATCAATTACTCTATCAGGAAAACATCTTTCAAAAATATAAATTGAATATAATACAGTTTGGTTTAACTCACTCAAATGTGAAGGAGCATGAGTAATAATACATATTTGTGTCAGCTCCAGTTCACATGTTTTTTATGCTAAATGTCAGGACGGATACATTAAAGATGTTACAATAGAGTAGTTATTTTTATTCTGACATTTCTTTTTCACATTTGAACTGAGCTGCTAAACTCGTCACACGTTAACAGAAGGCGGTAGTACTTAAACATCAGCCAATTATTTGTTCAATAATTTGAAAGTCCTCTGGATTCTCTTTTCTTTGTGGTGTGGTGAACATTTCCTTATATTTTGTCTCCTTCCATTTGAAATAGAGGCCAATCCCACCACATGAAAGAAAGGCTGCAGCAAACATCAAAGCACATCTGAGCTCAGAAGTGTCTGTTCAGACATGAGAAACAAGAACCGAGAGTTATTTTAGCATCAATACAGTTTACAGTGAAAACACAATACTGTAATTATATACTGAATATATGGCAGAAGTGTTGGTTAACATAGTGCAGTGCAATGTATCACTCTGTCTGTGTAAAATTGCTGTGGTGGTTCAATCAACCATCTTCAAATGTCATAAGATATGTTCATCCAAAAAATATTTTTTGGATGAAATTCTTTTCTAAGCAAACTAAATAGCTAAATATTTCAAAGCATTAGGACAATTTTATTCTCACCTTTACACGGAGAAATGAATTCTTCTTTGGAGACACGACTGATGTGATTGCTGACTGAGCACAGGAGACGTCCTGAGACATTTTGACTCAGAATGATGATATTCGTCCCATTGTTTTTAGAAATGAGCTCAGAATCTGTCAGAGTGTTTCCATCCAGAGTCCAGCTGTACTGAGGACTGTCCCCTTCCAGTATGAGACAGGACACCTTCAGCTCAAACGTGGACAGACACTCTGTAACCAGCTGGACAGAGGACACAGGAGCTGAAGGAGAGACAATAAAGTGTGAAATGGTAGTAAAATTAACACACCATTGGTCTTCTTTATTCAAAGTTTGTAATAATAAACAGAAAATGCATAAAGATCCAGGTCAAAGATTTGATACATTACCATAACATTATCAGAAAGGAAAGGAAATTCACCTTGAACAATCAACTGGAGAGTATGCTGCCCTATTTTCCATCAATCTGAGTTAAAGGTTTCCAGAGTATATTTACCACTGTCAGCCATCATAAGGTTCTTAATAGTAAATGTACCATTACTCGGCATAAAGAGATATCAGCTCTGGAGGGGATGTGGAAAAATTGTGTTTGTTCTGCCCCTAAGGATTGTGGAGCTTTGATGTCTCCATTCATATTTAGGTATTTCTAATAAACTATCCATCAGATGGAGAACCAGAGTTGCCCCCAAGGCTCCATAACACTGAGCTCCATCCTGTCTGCCATCACAGTAAGATTCCTCTTCTGCAAAATTAAAAAAGTAGATGAGAGTCATTTTTCAAAGTCCATACACACTAAACTCATGACAGTGCTGCAGTGCCTGCAAATATTTTCCCACTTATTTTAAAGGCCGTTAAAATTGTTTAGTTTTTGTTCATTTTAAATGATTGCTTATTTTATCAATTAAACTATGATTTGTAATTAAAGTTACAACCTCCTCAAGTTTTATTTGCATTTTCATATGAAAACATGACCAGTTCTTATTAAGTGCTACAGAAAAACTAACATTTGCACAGAACTAAAAAGAATTACATATGAAGACTAAAGATATATTATTTTAAAATAAACTGTTGTTTCTTGGAGGTTAATCTTGTCTCAGTTGCAAAGTAAATATGTTACTGTTTATAAATCTTACGTGTGAAAGTTTCTAATACAACCTGAGCTTTACAATCATGAAGATTTGGTAACTTTGGATACAGCGCCTTACATTTTTTTTGTTCCACTTTGATGTTTTCCATTTTGTCACATCACAAACTTAAACTTAGATGCATGTGATTAGGATACTGAGTAACAGACCAACACAAAGCAGTGCATAAATTTAAAGAGAAAAGTGCTAAATGGTTTTCACATTTTGTGTGGCAGACTTTCGTACTGAGTCTCCCTGAGTCAAAATGCAGCCATCTTTAACTCGAGTTACAGCTGGAGCTTCTCAGTTTTATTGTTTTTTTCAACTTCACATATTGGAAACTACAGGGGAAATTATATAGGTTCCTATTTGCAAAATACTAAAGCTGAAGCTCAGTCAAGGTCAATGGAGAGCATCAATGAGCATCAACTTTATCGTCTGGATTATGTGACAATTTGTATTGGTCATCATTAAATCAATTTAAAAGATATTGCAGTTTTGTAGTTGCATGATGGTTCAAAAGGTTTAGTGGCGATAAGTTTGCAAACTACTGTATTTAACAAGACAATAAAACAAAATTTTGGTCAAAGAAAATTATCTCACCTTTACAGACAGACACAATTTGATCTCTGGAGACATGACTGATATGATTCCTGACTGAGCAGGACAGATGTCCAGAGATATTTTGTCTCAGGACAATGAAGTTTGTGTCATTATCTCGAGAGAGGAGCTCAGAGTCTGTCAGTGCATGTCCATCCATAGTCCAGCTGTACTGAGGACTGTCCCCTCCCTCAGGAAGACAGAAAGCCCTTATTAGTCCTTGGGACAAACACTCAGTCACAAGCTGGACAGAGGACACTGGAGCTAAGAGAAACACACAGAGACAGCTGTTGAAATTATACAAAGTATCTTTTAAAGTTTGAAAAATTTAGATGAAAAGAAGGTTTACCTTCTATTAACAACTGTAGAGTCTGACATTGTTTTTTATGTGCATTTGAATCAAAAACCTCAAGTGTGTATTCACCACTATCAGTGCTGTTCAGGTTATTGATCCTGAAAGTTCCATTATAGGGATTAAACACAGATCTGCTTCTCAAAGTATTCTTTTTAATCTTGTTCTTTTGGCCTGTAAGAATCATTTGGTAGATTTTGGTAATAGATTCTTTCTTCCTCCACTTGTATCTGGGTATTTCTGAGGCGCTGTCCATCAGCCGGAGTTCCACACTTCCACCCAAAGCTCCATAACACAGAGCTCCATCCTGTCTGCCGTCACAGAAAGTTTCCACTGCTGCTCAAGAAAAGAAATATCAATAACAAAATAGTTTGTTTTTTTCTTTCTTTTCTTTGTTGCATTTGTTGCCCCATTATAATAAACCATATTGGCAGCTTTATTATAATGGAAAATGAGAAATGAGCACCTGTGATATATTAACTGATTTCGCATTTGCACCAAGAAAAGCGGAGCATTGACTTTTCAACAATTTGACAGCAAATATGCAAAGTGGTTCAAAATATCACCAAGCTGGGTGTAAAGTTTTGTCTTGACACTATATCACTTCCTCAATCTCATCTAACCAACAATGTTTTCCTATTCAGATTAAATCAAGAAATATATTAAAGGAATAATTTGATAAACACTTAAATTATTGTCAAAGTCAAGAAAAGTGTGAACACTCTAGCTTTCTGATAATAAATTATGGAAGTGGTTTTAATAACAAACATTTTGTAAAACATTTTAAGTATCAAACTTAATGTTAAGTCTGTTTGTTAACCATCCCTTAGTAGCTTTAACTAAAAGCAATGTTTTTAGCAAAAGACCTTGTTATATTTAAAAAATATGGTTCTAAAAATTAAAAAAATAATCACTTGCCTTATGATACTCTGAGTAGCATCACCAATAGTCCGAAAACACCTTTCATGATGGTCGGACAAATGCAGCACCAGAAACTACAAACTGTCTGGTCTCACTAATAAATGGAAAGATAGAAACTATGTCTGCATTGGTGGAAAAAGGAAGTGATGACTGCTTGATCATTTTTTTAGATTAGAAAATGAAAAAGGACCTTAGTTGTGTCTCGTGAGGTTCTTTAGCCACTGATTCAAAGGTAAGCCTACATGACTGCAGAGAAAATTAAGTTAGCTTAAAAATTAAGCTAAGTTCATTTTTATCAGATCAGACAAAAAATATGATCTGAAAAACTGAACTTTCAGAATCACAAAATGAAAGTATATTATTTTTTACCTTCATTTATCTTTAAAGATTTCTTATAAACATAAATTTTTTCCAGAAAAAAAGTTGAGTACGTATGAAAAACAGAGGCAAATTATGTCATTTTTTAGATAATTTTCTATAAAATGTAAATGTCCCATTCAAAATAACATTTCCCACTGTAACTCCAACAAACATAGGATTATCTAATTTAAAACCCACAAATGTTTCATAGTATTTATTATAAAAACAGGCTATATTTTTTCAGAATCTTGTTGCTTCCACCCCTCTAAACAAATTTATTTTAGCTGCATTGACGACAAAACTGCTCTTAGTGTTGTAAAGGTTGCTGACTCCACCATTAAATACATGCAGAAAAAAGTCAAGCTTAGCATATAAAATAATATGAAGTTATTTAACATTTTATATTTTGCATATCAGTACTTAGTGACTTTCAACATTTAAAAGAATGTACAGAGAAATACACTCAGAAGCTATTATTTACTTTATTTTATTTCGAACGTGATAGCAGTATAAAATAACACACATGAACAAGGAAGTGAGATTAGTTAAAGCTACTTCAAGTTAAGTTTGTCATCACCTCTTAACCTTTTAACAGGGTCCATCCAGTGGCGGAGCTAGACTTTTTTTCAAGGGCTGGCCAAAGAGTGAGCAAGGCTTTATCAGAGGGGTCCATATACAAATGATGAACAAAAGGAAACAAATATTTTCTCACACACACTCAAATTAAAATGGTTTATTTAACTAAGATTTGCCATGACCAAACAATACGTTAAACGGCACTATGGAACAGTGAACATGTAAATGTAAATTCAGAGCCCAGAATATGACCAAAAACAAAATCTCAAAAATAAATAAATAAACTGGTGCTTTTGATGTGCAATAGGTTGTGCTGGGTGGGGGCAGTTCAGTGCCATTTCCTTCTGCTTCACTGTCTTCCTCCTCAGAGTCTGACTCTGAATCTGTATCGCCCTCATCTCTCTCTGGAACTTAATTGGAAATGCATAAACAGACACAATAAAAAATGCAAAAAGCATCATGCTAACCTTTAGAATTAGGCTTATTGGATTTTAATACTTAATAACTCTCTGTCACAGCCTCTAACCCGCTGGTGATACACTTGGGCCTGGAATCTCCTGGCTGGATTCTCCAGGTTGGTCACTGCTGCAGGGTTCTGTCTGGTCCTGGTCACTGCTGCAGGGTTCTGTCTGGTCCTGGTCACTGCTGCAGGGTTCTGTCTGGTCCTGGTCACTGCTGCAGGGTTCTGTCTGGTCCTGGTCACTGCTGCAGGGTTCTGTCTGGTCCTGGTCACTGCTGCAGGGTTCTGTCTGGTCCTGGTCACTGCTGCAGGGTTCTGTCTGGTCCTGGTCTGGCCCTGGTTTTTGCCTCTTTAAGAAGAACTGGGAGATCTTCCCTTTTCTCTTCATTTGGGCTCTACACAAAATAAGACAGCCTGGTATTTAGACTCCATGACTGTTTGACAGAGACAACACTATTTTAACTATTATTTAAACTATAGTTTTTAGTTTTCTGTAGCTAGCTAAAATACTAAATTAAAAATACATTAATTAATATAACTAGTTAGGTTATAATTCAAAGCTTTCATATGACATAGCCTACTTACATTTCAGTCATTATAAAACTTAATGGTTTTTCACATATTCTTACCAAACACATTTCAAGCAAGAGCTGGGAGATATAAAACATTAGAGGGCAGCATGTGCACTAAAACATATGTTAAAAGAATCTGTCTAAAACACGACCTACCAGCACTAGCATGGCTAATATAATAAACGAGGCACTACGCAGCGGTACGCAACCATTTATATTTTCTTTTTAGAAATGTATGACAAGTGCCGCCTCTCATTAGGAAGGTAACAGCGGTTACCGCTGAGCGGTAAAATGTAAATACCATCAAAACTCCTCCAGGTGTAACTCTAAAGCCTTTGATGAGTTTTTGAACAAGCAGGACCCGCATGTCAGTTTAACCAATGAACAGCGTCGGGCATCGAGCTGCCTTCAGGGACAGTCGGAAATTACAGTTTTCCTGGCAAATCTTTGCCGATTCATAAGTATTATATTTTTAAATTACCATTTCCAGTGGGGTGGCACTAGGGGTGGCCAGGGGTCTGTTGGGGGTGGCAAGTGCCACCCCGGCCACCCCTCTGGCTCCGCCTCTGGGTCCATCACCCTGGTAACCCATGCTGAAGATGTATCCTGTTCTGGATGAGATCAAACTCCTAAAATATCAGGACTGTTGATGGGGATGTTTCAGTGCAGGTTAGAAATAATGATAAGTCAAGATCATTTTTGACAAGATCTCTGACGTTGTCAAAAAAGTTCAGAGATCATTGTCTTACACAAAAAAGCAAAGAGATACAAAATGACAGGAAGTGTTCAAAGAGAACACTCCCTGTCATTTTGTCCCCTGCTGTACAAAATGCTGTTTTCATTTAGTAGAGAGGAGATTAAAAGCAGTGGAGCTGCTGCACGTCGATTAAAAAGTGACATCTGCAGTGCTCGAATGAATTACAAGAATATTCTGTTCATCAATGCTTGTATTTGCTGAAATGCTGATAACATGTGGCGCTGTTGTGGGCTGTTGTTTTTTTGCTTGCTTTATAATTTGCCCATCTTTCTATGTTTGTTTGTGTTCCTTTCAATTCAGTTCATTACCATCTTATATGTTCATGTTCAGAGTCAAACCAGCTCTTCACCAATGTTGGGGTTTGCTAACAGGACGACTAAGTAGGTAAAAAATAACATCCAGTTAAGTGGGTGCAGTTCAGTTATAAACATGATACTGTTTTGGGCATAACAACAACCACATGCTTGTGGTTCTGCTCATTTTGCTACATTATGCAAATTAATGTAGCATTTTGCTGCATGAATTCTTCTCTTCTTTCTTGATTTCAGCATAAGGCAAACAACATGAATTTATCTAGTTGAGGTTTTCAAATGGACCTGTGTATACACAACATCACTATCTGATGTTATGGTAACAACATCAGAATGCCGAGGTTTCTTCGTCACTTGGCCATACTCCACTTGGACATCCAAAGATTGCTCCTCTCGCCTTCTTCTCCTCCCGTTATCATTGGCCAGCTCTCCATTATTTTCCTCCACTACAGAAGAATGGGAAATAATAGCACAGGATATCTACTGGATGTGTTTTGTTTCAATGTTTAAGTGTTAATGTTATCACTAAGAAATTACTTTATTACCTCTGTTATTTTTTTTCTTCCTCCTGACACATATGATTGCAGAACTTACAGCTATGATAATTATCAAAGCTCCGAGTGCACCAGCTGCTATCGGCCACTGTTCTGTTCAAAAATAAAATATAATTGGAAATGAATGAACACAAATAAACAAAATAAACCCTCATGAATAAAACCACAGCAGAGTAAATTTTCACTTGTTTCTGTACTGTTACAGGATTGATCAATCTTTGAGATCTGATTCAAAGTTGTTAGTTCTAAATTATTGATTTAAAGTTACTTCTTACCCATAAGAACATTGATATCAGGAGCATCTGGTGAATGGACAGTTGTTGGTTCAACACATAGGCTGTTATTTTCTTGAAACGCCCAGAAAGACATTTGTGTCCCATTCACAGAACAGTTCATGAAGCCTGTGAGCAAAGAAAAGTAGATCATGAAGGGAGCAATCTTTTTAGTTCTAAGTTGGTCAAAATTTATTCAGTGTATTCTAACTCACCACATGTAGATATTTGTATTTCCCTGAAGATGACACTGACTTGGTTCCTGACTGAGCAGACCAGACGTCCTGAGATATTCTGTCTCAGAACGATGATATTAGTATGATTATTTTCAGAGAAAAGCTCAGAGTCTGTCAGTGAGTGTCCATTCAGAGTCCAGCTGTACTGAAGAGGACTGTCCCCTCCCTCGGAGACACAGGACACATTTATCTGTCCCTGGGACAAACACTCATGCTCCAAGTGGACAGAGGACAAAGGAGCTAAAAGAGAAACATTTATTTTATTTAATGATATAGTGGAATTTTAGTTTAACTAGTCAAAGAAAATACACATTATCCAGATGTGGGATATTTCATAATAAACTATTTCATATAATTTCTAATGAAAACAAAAAGGGAAAAAATGACATCAGTGTTCAATGCCAATAAAATGAAATGATTGATCAAAATAGTTTAATCTGACAATAGAACAAACAAATCTTTTACCTTTAACATTCAGCTGAAGAGTTTTCTTTTCCATTAGTTTTCCATTTGAGTCAAAGGTTTCCAGAGTATAAGTACCACTGTCATTTCTGCTGAGGTTTGTTATGCTTAATGTACTATTACTGAGAATGAAATTATATCTGTTGGGACGATCAATTATGTTGGAATTATTGAATTTCCCCCTCAAGATGTTTGATGTGTTATGTTTCCCTTCATATTTAGGTATTTCTGAAATGTTATCCATCAGCTGTAGGAGGACTGTTCCCCCCAAAGATCCAAAACATCGAGCTCCATCCTCTCTGAAATCACAGTAAGTTTCTGCACCTGCAAGTGAAAAACAAAAAAAAAACAAAAAAACAAAGCAAATAAAAACAAAGCACCAAAAATTATGCTCAAAAGTTATAAACTGAGTAATAAATTAATGAGTTTGTTTCAAATTGTTTTATGTAATTCCAGTTGCACCATTAGATGAATCCCATTTGAAAGGGAATCCAAAGCCAATCAGAAACTGTAAAGGAATTTTTCTCTGGTCATTGGATGAATGTGCTTTCTGACTCTCACCACATACAGTATGTGCTGCTGGAATAATTATTCAATAAAACAAATTTTTTTATGAGTCTGAAGCTAAAATCATTGTGGGATTTCTTAATTTCAAATGTTCTTTACTTTACAATGGTTTAACACTATGCAAGATGGAATCTAAGGATTTATAATTGATGCCCAAACTGAGATTTGGGTGTCAAATTTTCTTCCTTTGCATTAGAAATGATGTCAAACAGAAGACCGGCACTACATTTTACATGTACGTAGAAACAACATAGATGGTAGAAGAGACTGAAGAAAGGAAACAAAGATGAACAAACAAGGAAGCGGAAATAAAAATAAAAAAAATCTTTAGCTTTAGTTTCTTTGTGAATTTTCAGCTTTTTCTCTACATACATGTACCATGTTTTTCTATTTTTTTCATTCATTTCATTTCATCAGCAACTGATTTTCCAAACCTTGTTAACATTAATTGATCAGTAGTTAATTAAAAAATACATTTCAGCTTAGTAAATATCGGAATTTTGAACATTAACATCTTTTATTTCAACAGCTAAAAATAATCCCATAGACGAAAAGTCGATCTTTTTTCTTCCTTCAGTCAAACGTGCAACCCAGAGGTCCTGGACCTAAAGTGTAGAGCTGTCTGACTGTGCAGAGACCTTCATGGAAAGGTTTAGCACATAGCATGTTTCTGGCGTTTGACACATCAACGAGGGGTCAATTTGGAAAGAGGTCACATTTGGTCCAGGTGGTGATGTTGTTCTGATGATTGAGCTTAAGCTAAAATATTGTTAGTTTAAACTCAATCTTCATGCTACAGATCAGTGATGTGCGTCATTCAGCTTTCAGAGTCCGGGTCCAATCACACACCCATTAGGCTGCATTTCATATTCTCTATGTATATGTGTGGGTTGAATAGCAGAAAAACTGTGACTCGACAAATTTAATTGATGCTCATGCAGTTCTCAACATATAATATTCTCACTTGGTATTCAGTTTATGTTAATGTTGTTTAACATTTTTCAGAAATGTCATTTAGAGCAATTTTTTTTAATCAATTTTCAGAAAAAAATTTCCAACTCACCCCAGGATGCTCCCAGTAGCACCACCAGTATTCCAACCACAGCTTCTATTAATTTAAACCAGCTACCAGACACCATTGTGCAACTGAACAGCATAAAATGCGTCTTGTTCCTGATCGGCCGGAGCAAACAAAGTTGTGCAGAGGTGAAAAAGGAAGTGGTGACGACTTAGTCAATTCTGCTGTCCCCTCAAGGCAACTTATATGTCATTTCCATTGCAATGCAAAACAAAAACAAGCTTTTCACAGCTTTTATTCATTTCTTACAGGCACATCATCTTAAAGACTTAACATAGTTTGAACAGCGAAAAGCCCAATTACCCCAGACCTTATACAAAATTAGTGGTGTAAGCGAATGCAGGATCTTTTACAAATTGCAACTTCTTACAATTTCAAACAAACTCATAAAAGTTCCTTTTTAATGCATATAAAACAATATTTTGTCATCACCTGTAAATATTATCAAAAACAAGTTCACACAAAAGCAGACTTTTTTTAACACCCAACAACTTTCCTTCTGAGAAGATAATAGAGGAAGTCTAAAAATACACTGACCGCACTAATGGTGTGAACTGCTGGAAATATGTTTTTTCTCCCAATGTACTCAAGCCAGTCTGCATGAAAGTCAGTGAAAACTGTCCTTCAGTTTTCTCTCTGCTGTACGATCAGCAGGCTGCACAATGGATGACACCTTGCTGCAAGGTGTCATCACTGTCACCTTGTAGCAAGAAGATTCAAAGCCAGGCTGGAGTCTCTCTGCAAGCAGTTTGCATGTTGTCCTGTTGCAGGTGTGGATCGATTTTCTCTGGTGTTCAAACATATCTATTGGATTTATGAATGACTCTGAATTTCCCTTCCTGTGTGTCTCTACGTCTTCATGTGTGTCTCTCTGGCAATCTGTCCAGGATGTACCTAACCTTACGCTCTGCTCTCCAGCAAATCAATTATGTGTGGGTAAAGATCGTGAATGCATGGATGGATGGTCGGTAAACAAATCAAAATCAAATCAAATCAAATTTTATTTGTATAGCACATTTCAGCAAGGCATTTCAAAGTGCTTTACATCATAAACACAAGAACACAAAGTCATGCAACATGGAATAAACAATACATTGTTACATATTACATTTCAAAAACAACTCTAAACAGGTGTGTTTTTAATTGCGATTTAAAAGAAGTCAGGGTTTCCGCTGTTTTACAGTTTTCTGGAAGTTTGTTCCAAAGTTTTGGTGCATAGATGCTGAAAGCTGCTTCTCCTCTCTTGGTTCTGGTTCTGGGATGCAAAGCAGACCAGAACCAGAAGACCTGAGAGGTCGGGAAGGTTGATACAACAACAGCAGATCTTTGATGTATTGTGGTGCTAAACCGTTCAGTGATTTATAAACTAACAACAGTATTTTAAAATCTATTCTTTGAGCTACAGGGAGCCAGTGCAGGGACTTTAAAACTGGTGTTATGTGCTCCATCTTCCTGGTTTTAGTGAGAAAACGAGCAGCAGCATTCTGGATCAGTTGCAGCTGTTTGATTGATTTGTTGGACAGTCCTGTGAAGATGCTGTTACAATAATCAATGCGACTAAAGATAAACGCATGAATGAGTTTCTCTAGATCTGGCTGAGACATGAGTCAAAAAAAGAGCACAACAGGAAGAGATCGCTGTCGAGAGATCTCTTCCTCTATTTACTTCTTCTAAAAGGATTCTCATTTTCATCGACACTCTGCTTCTATTTTTGTTGAAAAGTCAGTCCTTAGAAAAACCCTAGAAGGAAGAGACTGACTTACACATGTGTCTAAAATAGATTCATCTGTATTTTGTGTTTTACAAAATGTGAAACTGCCTCTCTGTTTATAGTTCTGAGCAGTGTCAGTATTTTTTCTCATATAGGAACACTTGAAATGTTTCTGATCAATACTAAAAGCAGTTAATCAATATCTGCATTTTTTTTTTTAAATTTGAACTCAATTGCTTTTTATGTAGGCTACTCACAAGGACAAAAAAAATCATTTATTTGTGTGTATGCTTAAAGAAATGAGACTGTTCAACCACATTAAAGTCATCTCGAGTCTCTTTTCTGACGTAAGTGACAAAGTCCTAGTATTTGCTCTCCTTCAGTGTGAAATAGAGCCAGATCCCGCCGCAGAAGAGAATTGTTACACCAAACATCAAACCGTGTACGACCAGGGAGATATCTGTAGAGAGAAGAGCAACAAGAAACAGATGTCAAATTGAAACAAAAACAGAAAAGTCAAGTATAAATTTTCTTAACATTTCTGGTCATGTTGTACTGCAGAAAATAAGCTTGGTGATTTTTATGAATTTGTGGTTTATGGAGAACTATTAACTCTTGGCAATCAAATTTCAGAGATTAATTTTTTTTAAATTAATGATTATAAAATGGCGACAGACTGGCGACCTGTCCAGGGTGACCCCATGTTAGCTGGAGAAAGGCAGCAGCACCCCTCCTGACCCCACTGGGGACAAGAGTGTTGGATGGATGGATGGATGGATGGATGGATGGATGGATGGATGGATGGATGGATGGATGGATGGATGGATGGATGGATGGATGGATGGATGGATGGATGGATGGATGGATGGATGGATGATGGATGGATGGATGGATGGATGGATGGAAGGAAGGAACACATAACTCCTACATAATAACAAGTCTGGTTACAAAGATCCAATTTCTCCCACCTTTACAAACCAATAGAGCTTTTTCCTCATAGGCATAGCTGACTTGATTCCTGGCTGAGCAGACCAGACGTCCTGAGATGTTTTTTCTCAGAATTATGATGTTCGTCTCATTATGCACATAGACGAGTTCAGAGTTTGTCAGTGTGTGTCCATCCAGAGTCCAGCTGTACTGAGGACTGTCCCCTCTCTGACAGATACAGGACACCTTCATCTCTGACTGCGGCAAACACTCAGACACCAGCCGGACAGAAGACACAGGAGCTAGAATGAGAAAATATCGTCCTAAATATTTATGTAGCATCTTTTTATTTCTTGTGATCCACCATTTTCTATAACAGGAGAAAATGTAAAATGTTGCCCGAAACACAATAAGCTGTGTTTAACTTGCAGTGTGTTTTTTTCTACAACAGTAGATGCAGTAACATGTGGAATGTATATAATATGAATACATGCAAAAAGAAAAGTCTATTGATAAGTCGATTTCAGAATGTTTTTACCTTGAACTAGCAGTTGAAGAGTCTGCACTGTTTTCTCTCCTTCAGAATCAAATATTTCCAGAGAATATTCACCACTGTCAGACCTGCTGAGGTTCTTAAGGCTCATCGTATCATTGCTGGAAAGAAAGAATACTCTGTTCGGAAGGTCATTTTGAAAGAATTGATGTCCTTCACCTCTGAGGATTATGGCTGTTTTATTTTTCCCTTCATGTTTAGATATTTCTGAGGCGTTGTTCATCAGACGGATGATCACAGTTCCTCCCAGAGCTCCAAAACACTGAGCTCTTTCCTCTCTGGCGTCGCAGCGAGTTTCTCCCTCTGCAAACTCTGAGAAACAGACGTTAACAACCAAAGCAAATATCTATGATCCTTAAAGTTTCCAAAGTTTGTTTTGCATTCCACAGCATCACAAATCACAAGTTTACTTCACTTATTTTAGGTTTATTGTTGCTGCAGATTTCATTTGATGAAATCAGATGCTTGTTCAAGATATTTGATTTTACATGTAAGCTGAACATAAACATTTCACTTAAAAAAAAACAAAATGCTGACGGTTGCATATGACAGAAAGTCATGATTGTGTTTTGTTTGTTTGGTCATTTGACATACATGTAAACATAACAATAGTGTGTGTCTCAGGTTAAAATCTCCCACTATCTCATAACTCCAATTATAAAGATTCAAAAAAATAATTAAACTAAGGAAATTTTGTGGTTTAAGAATCTTAGAATAGCTAAACATGACAAATAAAACCAGCATGCTCTTTGTGTTAAAGAATATGTTTATCTTTAAAAACAATCGTAGACTGTGTTTACTTGCAGTGTTTTTGTTCTTCCTACCTTTACAAGCAGACATGATCTGCTCTTTGGAAGCAATGCTGATATGATTCCTGACTGAGCAGGACAGACTTCCTGACACACTGTGTCGCAGAATAACAACGTTATTCTCATTATTTGCCGATAGAAGTTCAGAGTCTGTCAGTTTGTCTCCGTTCAGAGTCCAAATGTACTGAGGACTGTCCCCTCCCTCGGAGAGACAGGACACCTTCACCTCTAACCCGGACAAACACTCAGTGATCAGATGGACAGAAGATACAGGAGCTGAATATGGAAAATGAAATTATGAAGTCATTCTTTTTGGGTAGAATTATAATAAAGTTAATTATCAGTAAAAAATTTTAAAAAAAAGCAAAAACAAAAACAAAGCTTCACCTTGAACAATCAACTGAAGAGCTCGGCTTTCTATATTTCGTCCATTTGAATCAAAGATATTCAAAGTATATTCACCACTGTCAATTCTCCTGAGGTTCTTCAATGCAACTTTACCATTGGTGGGAACAAAATTACATGTGTTCTGAAGGGCATTTTGTGAGAAATTGTACCCTTTGCCTCTGAGAATTACAACTCTTTCATTTTTCCATTCATATTTAGGTATTTCTGACACGTTGTTGAGCAGCTGGATGATCACTGCTGCTCCCAAAGCTACAAAACATACAGCTCCATCCTGTCTTCCATCACAGTGAGTTTCTCCTGCTGCAGGTTCTGAGACAAAATGAAAAATGTTTGAAAACAAAGCAATAGGTCAAACAGGGTCAACACCTGTCCTCATGCTGCAGAACGTTGTAATAAAACTGCTTTTTTTTATTTGTACTGTTGTCAGGTCATAGGAGCTATAGTCAATCTTGATGAGGTTTCTTTTAAAAGAAATATATACCAAAATTTTGGTTGAAAATCTAAGTAGAGTAGATAAAAAATACTTATCCTTTAAGATTTTTTTTTATTCATATTTAGGTATTTCTGAGGTGTTTTCAGTCAGTTGAATGAACCACATTTCCTCCCAAAGCGCTATAACACTGAGCTACATCCTGCCTGCCTTCACCATGAAACTGTACAGCTGTAGGTTCTGAGAAAAAACATGTTGAACAACCAAACGATTGCGATCCTTCACAATCCAGTTATTTATAAATACACAAAATCATGAGTTTGCTCAATTATTAAATGTTAATAGGAGTGGTTTTCAATATATCTACTCTTATTTGGAGGCTGTGTGTGAACATCAAAGTAAATTTATTTCCTGGTTTACAAAAAGCCCACTGCGATATTAGACAGTAAAATATGACCAAAAACAAGTACAGAACTGGTCATGGTTTTAAAGCTTTGGTTGCTCTAGTGCCCTTTTTTAGGGAATACAGCTGCGCTTACATCGGGGAGCCTCGTGCACTGCCCTCTTGTCTGTCACATTTATGTTTTGTTGCTCAGTTATCTTTTGCTAATCATGACAGAATAATAAAGAAATGTTAAAAAAGGGGTCAAAATATTTTCTTTAGCAGCAAAATGACCACAATTGACATGCAACATTATTGCATGTCAGTCTTTTACTTTCACACACTACATATTGCACCTGCAGAAGTGACAAAAATGACTCAAACATATTATCAGTGATTGAATTAACATTACATAACATTACTAAAAATCTCCCATGCTATCCAGATTCTTTACTCACTTCTGGATGGTTAAAACTGAACGTAAAACTAAAACTGGTCTTTTTGTAAGTAGGTGGAATGCGGAGTAAGATGCAGTGACCTTTTAAAGCAGCTAATACATTTCCTGTTAAAGCTGACTGATGTTTTACAGTCTGAAACTAATCGGTAGAGTGACTTAATTTTTTTCCTGAACTTTATTCCTAAACTGCATGTGATTAAAATAGGAGTAAAATGGTTGATGCACATGTTTTCAGTCATTCCCAAATAATCAGGGCTCTTCTGGTTGCTTCCCTTTTGAGGTGAACTGAGTTGATAAAATTAATTTAAATCTCGCTGCAGAGAATTACCTGTTGATGATAAATATGCATACAGAACACCACATCTTATTCAAGTCACTGAGGTTTGAACCCGGTTGTACATTAAGATTCACAACATGAATGCAGAAAAAAGATTTTGCATCCTGCCATGTAAAATTTGTTTCATAATTTCATAGCGTTTATGTGACACTGATTTGTGACGTTACCTACTTTACTTATTTAATTGTTTCTTTAGCATAGTGACTTACAGTATTGGTTGTAATCAGAACTTAAATTAAAGCCAAAGTGTAAACTGTCTGCTTCTGAACAAATATGAAATAAACTACAACTCAGTCAGAACTCACATAGCAACGCGTTTACTTTTAAAAAGCAGATTCTTACGTCGTATTCACCCACTTCTGCTTATTTAAATGTTGTAAACAAAGAATATGGACTATTTTTAAATGGGCTTATTAAAGAACCAAAAAACATAAACTCACCATGCGTGAATCTGAGAAGGGTCAGCAACAATCCAACCATGAAGTTCATGACTGGACAGTAGCTGCCAGATCATTCAGTCTGAGCAAAAGCAGCTGTAAAAACTGTCAATGTCTCTCACAAATAATTTGGGTTTAAGGAGAAACTAAAGCTGCAGAAGTGACAAAGGAAATGGCAAGAACTTGGTCAGCTCGTGGTACACACACTCGTTTCACTCGTCCACCCACCCACACCAATCACAACTCGCCTTCACCATATTCTTCTGCTACTGCAGAAGAATATTACCACACACTGAGAGGAAACAGATTATCTTCTGCATGAAATATGTGGTTTGTTGTGCCACAGAGGACAGACTCATTTATGTCCTAATTTTACCCTTTTAAAGCAGCTAATAAATTTCCTGTTAAAACTGACTGATGTTTTAACAGGATTCAATCCCAAGGTAGAGAAAGAACTGTGATTATGATATTTTTATATCTTTGAAAAGCTATTTAACTTTTGAAAGTATCTTGTAGGTAATCTTGTTTCTCAAAAGTTGAGTGAAATAAAACATAAAAATATGTTCACAAAAGAACAGACAAGGCATGTCAGCTTATCTATTTGTTTCACATAACATACGCATCTCTGGTGTTCGTGGTGAACGGTTTCAGGTTGTACCAGCTTTGTGAGAGCTGGGCGACGAATCAGGCCCTAAACCGTCTAAAACAAACTTATTCTCAGTATTTTACAATTTTATTCTTGTAATTTTAAGACTTCATTATCTTAATTTCCCAACTTTATAGAATTAATTTTATGATTTTATTCTTGTAAGTTTACAGTTTTATTCCGGTAATTTTACAACTTTATACTTGTAATTTTACAGCTTTATTTTCACATCTGTAGGTGGCAGCATTGAGTCGTGTTAGACTTACACGACTCATTCATCAACTCATACAGATTAAAACTGAATTAATGACACTTCTAAAAGGTTGCTGAAATGAAACTATAATATCAACAGTATAGTTCTCTCTTATTAACCAACTCAGTATTGGTTTGGCTAATAACTAATTTTTCAGATTTTTTGTCTCCTGTTCTCCAAACTCAGCTAAATAAAAGGACTCCAATTACATTCCAGCCACATGGCATCTTTAGAAAGTATTTATAATTTCAATGAGTCTTTGTTCTGACATTCTTAAACTCAATTTAAACACATTTCAGCCTAAACAAAAAAGGAACAATGATGTGATTGCACAAAATAATTTTAGAAGAAGTGTAAACTCTATGCTAACTTTTCTGAACATTTCTGCTTTTGAAAAGAGCCTCGTGGATTAAAAATAGTGACTTAGTTTATCGTATGCTAACTGTGTTCCTTAGTGATTCTCGTCTATGTAACAAATCTAAACAAATTGCATTTGAATCTAAGAGCCAGTGGTCAATAAACCAGGGTGGAGGTGAGAAGTGTTCACAGTCCACCCTGCAACAATAAGAACCGTCACCCACGTGCTTTCTGATCAGCCATTAGAGTTATTTTACATCAATCCTGGTCCACAGTGCTCCAACTCAACAAATTCAAATTGCCTTGTTTCCAGGCACAAGTAGAAAATAACTCTTTACAGCTGTAGCACATGCAGTGATTTGGTGGTTTAATTATACGGTTGGTTAGCGTTATGTCCAGACTAAGTTTTGGGAAAACAGAGAAAATCCCAAAATTTGGTTTGATCAGTAGTTTAAAGACAGATAATGTTCTATTTGAAGTGTGTGGTGTTCACACCACACACTTCTGGAAACCCTGTAGTGAACTTCACCTTTGTCTAAGTAACTTAGAGTTAGACTTAATGATCTCCTTAAGTTTTCTTGTTCATTGTTTCACATGGTGTATAATTACCAACTGCTTTGCTGTTTTACTTGGACTCCTGGTTTAGAAACTCCTAGACAAGCAATGAAAACTGGCCTGTTTTATCCAAGCATGGGCCAGTTTTTACTGTTTTTAAAATAATTTTTAAAAAAATAGAGCAATAATTTTATTTTATTTTTTTATTTTCTTACTGTACAACAAACTGCATACAATACTTAAATTAAACAATCCATAATCAATTTTTACAGAGATTTTTAAATACAAGTAGAATGTAAAAATGATCCAGATGTTCGCCTGATTACAAGAATGGCATAAAAGATTAAAAGGTTTTGTGCAATGGCCTAGAAAATGTCTTAGTGTATTTTCAGCTTAGGCGAACCTCAGAAGTTGAGAAAAGTAAAACAAGCATGAACCTTAACTGTGTTTAGTAAAATAAATCACATTAATTGAAAATTTGAGACAGTCTGGCATCCTTACTTTGTCGCATTCACCCTTGATTTCAATAATGCATACTTTGTAAAGGAGACAGCAATAACTCAGGTCACCTCACTTTACGAACTTGTGCATAGACAGGGGCTTCTGCAGCAACCTCCGACTCCTGAGGAAGCTCTGAAAGGGTCTCTTGTTTGATCTCCACTTCTTCTTCCACACTTTCCTCCGTTTGCCTCTCCTGTTGTGCCATAATCCTGACTTCAGCATAGACAGGTTCACTGTTGACTTTCTCCACTGAAAATTGTCAGAAAGGCTTTGTTCAGGTAAACGCACTTTTTTTTGTCACTTCAACAAGAAATATAAATACAAAAGAATTAAGTATGAAATCAGGTCAGCACCTTTGAAAGTATGTTTTTTCTTATGGGCACAGATTAATCCTATTCCAACAGCTAGGAGAAATACCAGTCCTAAGAATACACTGGCCAATACCACCAACAAGTCTGTTTGAGAAGCAAAAAATAAGCAAACATAGATCTTCACAGGCAAAGTTTGGTTAGTGGTGTATTTCTAGGGCACATAACATGCAGTTTTCTTACCTTTTGCACGGTATGCAACTGCTTCAACACAAAGGGTGTTACCTTCTGCCAACACCCACTCAGATATCTCCGTCCCGTTGTAAGTGCAGTTAATGAA